TGAGCCCACCCTTTAATCCTGAGGTTCATCTGCCGGAGCCGAGCAAGCTTGGACAGTGGCAGTGAGGTCCCCAGGACGTAGGTTTGTTTAGAGTGACCTTCTCTTAGATGGATTGCCTTACAAGGCTAACGAGCTCCATCTGCCCGGGACTGTGTGGTAGGAAGTAGTAAATTATCATGATTATTTTATGTGGATGTTAGAAGAAAGTGAGTTAGGAACCTTTGCTGTGGGAGACTTAAGAGAGTTTTGAGATAGGAGCTCATTGTGACATGTCCTGGAGTTGTTCTTCTTTCCCTTTAAATAATTAGCATTTATTAAAATCAGATTCTCCCTAAGCTTAAATAAAGCTCTTCTTCAGCTTTTAAATCAGAAGGAACAAACAAACAAACAAAAGTTAAGATTGTCTGTATCATGGGGATTTACTAAGCTATTCAGAGCATGTGCTTTCATATAAGCACATATAGCTTATAGGTAGAAGGAGAGGGAACTTCCTGTTCTAGCCTGGTAGAGTAAGAAAAAAAAGATGATGCATTTGCAGGAAGATCAATTTAGGTTTCCATAGCCAGTTTGAAGTACATTGATTGATCAACTGCCTATTAAAAATAAATGTCATCTTCTTTGTAGTTTAGGCTCCTTGTTGGAATTTAATCTTTCAGTAAATAAATTCTTCTTTTATACTTATTCTTCATCAAAAGGTTTCTCAATTTTTAAATTGAGTGGAAAAACAAACACTGTGATATTAGCAAAATTAATGGACATTTTCACCTCTTAAAGTCTTTAAAAATATTTTCTGTTTTAGGTCTTGCATTAACTTACATTTTGGAAAACAGCTTTAAGCCAGAAGCAGGTGCAAGACCTGGAGTATCTAAAATTGGGATACTGATCACTGATGGGAAGTCCCAAGATGATGTTATCCCTCCTGCTAAAAACCTCCGAGACGCTGGCATTGAGCTGTTTGCTATTGGTGTGTATTCTGCCATATCCATATATTGTGTCCCATTATACCCTGGTGTATTTGTATCTGTTGCTCTCTAATTTAAAGAACTGTTCTTTTCTGTCTGTATCAAGTAAGTATCATTGTTAATTTATATATTTTAATACGTTCTCCAATTCATTGCTGCTATAATTGGAATTTAGCAGTATATATGGATGCTACATTATCAGGAGACAGCTGAAAAGATGCCACTTGTGCTGGCAGAAATGGAAGTCTTGAATTAACATCTTAACAACAGAACAATCTGCAGTTGGTCATTAAAATGAATAGAACTGGATATTAATAAGTTTTTATTAACAATCCCCGTGTATACAAAATTTTTTCTTTTTCATTGCGAATATCTTCATTTTTCTTTCCGATAAAAGGTGTAAAGAATGCAGATATAAATGAACTCAAAGAGATTGCTTCTGAACCTGACAGCACACACGTCTACAACGTGGCTGACTTTAACTTCATGCATACCATTGTTGAAGGTCTTACCAGAACAGTGTGCTCACGAGTAGAGGAACAGGAAAAGGAAATCAAAGGTGAATAAGAAACAAAACATAACGTAACTTACGATGAACTCAGGGCTACAAGTCTAAGCTCTAGGCTGGCTTCTGGCTCTTAAGTCATGCTGTATATTCTGTTGCTTGCGAGAAGGTGCATTGTCAGAGAAGTTATCTTCCTAGATATGTTTTATTCTTGCTTTGATATCTGTGATCTTTTGCTCTCTGTCTTTGATAGTAGTAAATATTATGGTATTTGGTAGTACCAAAAAATACAAAAATTCATTCTGCTGTAATTATTTCAAAGTGGTGGGTAAGGAAATTCTTTTTATTATACACAGATCTGGGGATAAATTAGTTTAACAGCTGCACATGGAATTGTTACATTTGTGCTGTGTTTTCCATCTCCTAACTTACTGGTTTTATTATCTCATAAGTTTTCAGAAGTTTCAGCTATTTAGATTGCTTTGTCCCTTCCTGATGACAGCTTGTTTTCTCTTTTTTAACACACAAAAAATATATTTCAGCACACAAGAAAAGATGGTGGTGAAGAAAATTGTTCTTACATGAAAAAGTTTCCGCTGACTACAGTTTTTTTTGCTTTTCTGAACAAAAGAAATGGCCATGCAAAAATGTTGCAATTTACCAGAGAAACAGTTCTACGTGAGGAAATTCTTTCTGAAAGGCTCCAGTGGATTTTGTTTGTGTTCTTGGTTTCTGATTCCTTAATATCAGAGAAATGCTGAGTGATTTTTCAGTAAGCTGGAAATATATATCAGTAAGGAAGTCTGTCTTTCACAGATATTTCTACCTGTGCTATGAAGAAGTGTGTGTTAGTAAGGCTTCATTCCATCTTTTTGCTCTTTTATTCACCTGAAAACTGGAAGAAATACAGAACACTAGCTGTGTCTTGTAGAGGGAGTAGTCAGTTGAGAAATTGAGAGGGAGAGGATGAAAAAACCATAGAGAGATGAGACATCTTTGTGGAAAGGAATTATTGCCAGAGAAGATGACTGTTCACTGCATCTCTTCAGTTGGCTGACAGACAGCATATCAGATTCCATCCTCAGAGGAGCACAGGAGATCACAAGATCACATACGTACTTCTATGTTTTTCGTAACTGGGAAGAAAGCAACCTAGAACAAAAAAAACAAACCAGAAAGAAGGGTTTTGATAAAGTGATGTGAGGAAGGACAGGAAGGCTTAGTTTTGTGTTTTGTCTTTTTCATTTAAAGGTTTATGAAAGACCGGGGAAGCTTAGTCCCGGTGAAACTCCACGTGCAGTACTCATTATGACTTATTTGTTTCCTTGAAAATAACCTAAATGAGTGTGTAGTAGCCACACTACTGATGAGGAATGATCTTTAGAGCTTCAGCAAATACAACAAACCAAATAATCATTATGCAGAAGGGAATAAAAAAAATTTTGTTGTCTCAAACCTAGGAACAATTGCTTCACTTGGGGCTCCTTCGGATTTGGTCACATCAGAGGTAACAGCTAGAGGATTCCGGGTTAGCTGGACCCATGCACCAGGCAAAGTGGAAAAATACAGGGTTGTGTACTATCCTACTCGAGGAGGACCACCAGAAGAGGTAACAGGAGGAAAAGCTTCCCAGAAATTTTTAATGCAACAGCAGCAAGTAACCAGACAGGAGATCCATGGTCTTATTTTAAATCTACCCTGAAATTTCTTGTGTGGGCTCTGAAGCCCACTACAGAAAGGAGATTGATCGCACTGGATGGTGATGAAGGTTAGGTAGTAGCTAGGCTGCTTTTCTGTCTACAATGTAAAGTAAAGGAGTAAAGTGTAAAAATAAGCTTTCAGGGGATGGGGTAAAATCTTCACATTTTTCTTACACGTACAGTTACTTAAACCAGTTCTGTAGTTTCCTCCTGCACCCATCTGTTTACAAGAACAGAAGAGGTAGGAGTTGATGGCAAGGCAGATTTTCAGTTCTAAGAAAATAATTATTCATAAAAGAAGATGATATGTGTGTACATTTTGGGACATTTACAATTTGTCATGCAAAATTTGGAGAGAGGTGATTATTTGAGTAGGACTTGAGCATTCTGGAGACAGGGAAAAATGCAGTGGAACAAGTTTCTTGCTTTATCTGACAGCTTATAAAATTGAGTGGAATGGCAAAGAGCAAAGGGATTGAACTAAGATTATATTTTGTCTCCTTTTTTCCTTTTTACTAGAAATGCCAATGTAAAAATTGCCTGAAAGAGGAATTGATTGATTTGAGGATAATACAGTTAGTTTGCTTAATGCATATTTAGTGAAATTTTCTTTTAAACAGGTTGTAGTAGATGGAAGCGTATCAACAGCAGTTCTGAAAAACCTGATGTCTTTAACTGAATACCAGATAGCTGTATTTGCCATATACTCAAATGCTGCTAGTGAGGGCCTCCGTGGAACAGAAACTACACGTAAGTATCTTTAGCATCTTTGTTGCAGATTTGACTGTCTGCATTTTATCAAACTGTGTGTTAGTCTTTTTGAAAAAGAAATACAGAAGGGAGTCTTTTTCAATTTAGCTTATTTTAGTGCATTTGCTTTAAATTAATTTTAGTTTGAATTAATTCTGGGCTAAGTTCCTAAGTCCAAATTCTCTGTGAATATTTAAACACTGAGAAAGTTTTTACCTCTGGGATGAACTTGGAAGTCAATTGTATTGAACCCTAAATTGGAACATTCCTGTGTGTTGGGTGTGGAGCCAAACTTTATGAAGTAGGTTTGTGGCTGAAGATGATCTTGTGAGGGGAGGATTAGGTGGGACCAGAAATACCTGCATGTGATTTCCAAAGATTTTCAAAGATTTCTGTACATTTCTTCATCAATGATTCAATTATTTTCTGTCTGTAAAATGGTGATTTGGGATATTGTAAGACAATACATTTACAGTTTTGGGTATTTGTATACAAAATGCAGTTACTTTTTTTAGAAAATATTACAGATACTAGGAAGGGAAGTAAAGAGGAACTTTAGAGTTCAGACTAGGAGACTGGAAGTCCATATGTGGACTTATGTCCATATGGGATGTATTAATAGCTGATACCTGCTGGAAGATCAGCACAGGGCTAAAGGAATCTATAAGACTTCTAGAGTGCTTTGACAACAACTTCCTGACACAATTGGTCAAGATGCTAACAAGGGAAGGTGCTCTGCTGTAGCTGGTACTTAGAAACAAGGAAGAACTGATGTGGGGAGGAGGATGTTAAAGTCACAGGTAGCCTTGACTGTAATGATCATGAGATGGTAGAATTCAGGATTCTAAGAGGAGGGAGGAGTTTAAAAAGGAGGACCACAATTCTGGATTTCAGGATAGCAGTCTTTAGTGTCTTCAGAGATGTGCTGGGAAGAAGCTGAAGGGATATGGCCCTGGAGAGAAGAGGGATCCAGACGAGCAGCTTGATACCCAAAGATCGCATCCTACAAGGTCAAGAAAGGTCCCTACTAACAAGTAGGTAATCAACCAAAGGTGTCTGGAGACCAGCATGGATAATCAAGAAACTCTTAACAGAGCTCAGACATAAAAGGAAGTTTATAAGAGATGGAAGAATAGGCAGATGACACAGAAGTACAGAGCTGCTGTCTGGTCTTGCAGGGATAAGTATAGGAAAACCGGGGCCAACTTGGAGATGAATCTGGCAAGCGATGTGAAGAGGAAAACAAATTTAGCCTTATGTAGTTCAACAAAGGGAAGTGCAAAGTCCTGCCCTGGGGAGCAACAACCCCATGTGTCAGTACACATGGAGGGATGACCAGCTGGAAGGCAGCTCTTCAGAGAAGGACCTGGGGTCATGGTAAACAACAAGTTGACTGTGAATCAGCAAAGCACCCTTGTCACAAAGAAGGCCAGAGCCTTCTGGATCATGATTGAAAGTGAATCATTTTCATTAGAAAATGATTGTCACCAGGTTGGGGGAGGTGATTCTTGCCCTCTGCTCAGCACTGAGGAGACCATAGCTGGATGCTGGGTCTTGTGCCATGTTCCCCAGTGCAAGAAACATGTGGACTTACTGTAGTGACTCCAGTGAAAGTCCACAATGATTAAGGGATAGGCACATCTTTTGTAGGAGAAGAATCTGACACAGCTGGACTGTTCAGTTTGGGAAGAGAAGGCCCAGGTGATCTCACCAATTATGTCAAATCCCTGATGCAAGGGAATGAAGAAGAGTGAGCCAGATGCTTCTCAGTGATGCCCACTAATAGGACAAGAGCCAATAAGCACAAATTAAAAAACCATGAAATTAAATTTGAACAGGAGAATATACAGCTTTATTGTGATAGTGGTCAAACAGTGGAATAGGTTGTCCAGAGAGGTTGTGGAATCTGCATCTCTGGAGATATTTAAAACCCAGCTAGAAAAGGTTCTGAGCAACCTGCTTTAGCTGACTCTGACTGAACAGGAAAGTTAGTTAGACCAGATGATCTCCAGAGGTGACTTTCATACTAAATGGTTATTTGATTCTGTGTCAGTGCAGATCTTTGCGATCTGAAAATAAAACATAATAATATAAAATTATTTGAGACTTCTCAATTGGTCTCAGTCTCCCAAAATGTCATCTCCAGCCATATTACACCCCACAACACAATGTTAGGACCTGTTTAATTTATTGAGGCAGAGGGAGCAGTCACATACTGAGCCAACAGGATTGTTTTGTACTGCACCTGGAATTCCTTTGAAGTCACCCAGTCAAGTTCTGACGGAGCCCAGTCCTGCTGACTTTCTGAGATGTGATCAAATCACACCCCAGGGTCATGCAGCATCAAGCAATTTATACATCTGTCTTTGATAGTGTGTTGGAAGTAATAGTCTGACATGTGCAAGTATTAATCACTCCACATGCTAAAATATCTGCAGTTTTGAAGTATTTTTTACTATCCTAATGGAGAATTATGGAAAATTGTACTTTACATTCCTGCCTTTGTGTGAGATACTGACTGATGAAAGTAGTCACCAATTGCATTTGTGTTCATATAGAACACTGAAAATGGTTTACAGGTATCTAAACAGATGTATGTATATGCATAATGTACAGATAATTAGAATGTTTTGTGACTTTAATGGTTGCTTCTAACTTGAAATAAATATGAAATCCATTCAAGTTTTCATTTTACTGCAAATATATATTTTACCTGGTTTATTCTAGTAACATGGGTAAATTAAACTGACTAAAAACAACTGGAATAAACTAAACCAGCATTATCTACTATATATTCATTTTTGAGATTCTGAACTCCTCAACTGAAAATTCCAGTAGAAAATACCATGTTTTATTTCCATTCACCTCTTCATTAATCTATTATTATCTAGATATATTATCTAATATTTCTATTGCCAGGGTATCTTCCAGTTCCTGTTGAGAGATAAAATACAAGTCACAAGTTAGGAAATATTTTTCTTATGGATTTTTAGAATCAAAATAAGGAAAAGGACAGGTGATGGATACTCTCTCTGATTCTGGGGCAGTTTGAGTAGGAATGAGACACTGTGGAACCAAGTACCTTCAGGATATCTCAAGATGTAGTTTCTTGCTGTAAGTATCAGAGATCTGAATGAAGCTCTGAGCAAAGAGTGTGAAGTACACTTGAAAATATTCATGGGTAGTTTCTCCCTGTAATGAGAGGAGCTGTGGGAATTCATAAGAATATAAATCAACACAAGAACAAGGATTTAAATAGGATGGAGGTAGGTTATTAAAGGTTTGGAAGTGCAGATGGGTAACCTGGAAATAGAAACCTAAAGAGAGGCGTAGGTTGAAGTTCTGCCACCACTTACAGACTGAGTGAACGGCCTCAATGAACAAGAGGCTAGCCTGGTGTTGTACATGGGGAGTTAAGAGCTCTGTTAGAGCTTGTTGAACACAGTGTAAGGGATAAACTATTTCTTGGAGAAATCAGCTAGACAGGGTGCAGTTTTTGTTTGGACAAGGAGATTAGCGAAGCTCTGTGATTGTAGTTAGAATTTGTTGCTGAATCTTTGTTTGCAGATCAGATTCTTCAGAAGTATACAAAGAAGAGCTTAATAGCAGCTTAACATCCAGCTTATTATGGTCTCTCTGAGTTCCTAATATTAAAGGCTTGATATCAGTTAGCAATAGCCCTCTGTTTTTTTCAGACCCTTTCAGTCATTTTAGGGACTTAGAATTTCCAAAAGAGAAGTCAAAGTTCCCTCATATCTCTCCAGTGACTGGATATTTTGGTGGGATCTGTAAATGTTGTAACAGCAGTTAAGAGACCTTGGGATGTTATTTTGTGAGAGGAAGAAAGTGAGGACAACAGGGAAGTGCAAAATGCTACTCTAAAGAGTTACAGAAATGCAAATAAATATTCAGGAACCCAGATTGGTGCTATGTTCTGGTATCAGCGCCTTAAATTCACAAGTAAACCTCCTAATATTGGTTGAATTTCACTCAGCCTGCTCTCACTTGCCAGGTTATTATTCACCATGATTTGCAATGGATGATCTTGCCCATATTTGCATTATCCCACTGACACAGGCCTGGGAGCCAGTTTGGACAGTCCAGGCTTTAAACATGCAACAGTTTATAGTCTAAATATTTTGACATGTGCAATGTGCTCATCCCGGATTTTCTCCAGGGTTTTGTACCTCGTGGCTGTCACACCCATACTCTGGCTTGGGAACTATTCCTAGCAAGAGCCATCCCTTAAAAATGCTACTGGTTCCTAATAGCAACCCTGCATATTCTTCAACAGCGATTGGTAATCCTCCTTCAGATCAGGGAGAAGGATGGGTGAGATCAGAACAGAGCAATTGGTGCAATTTGGTGCTCAAAGAACAGCAATCCTCCTACTGGAAGTATTCAGAGCCATTTAGGACAAGTAGCTGAAATGCTTTCTAAGGCATAGCTCTTCCCTGGCATTAGAATTGGTTTAGGTCATAATTTCCTTGTTTGTCTAGTTCTGCGATCTCTTATGTACCAATCATCTCTTCATAGTTGTAGCATACAGACAGTACTTCCATGCGTGGAGATAGCTGTATTCCTTTGTGTTTCCTGGGGTAAAATAAACTCTTTGAATAATAGCTGGTTGTTCAAGTGAGACAACTGAATTGACTCTCTCTTGTTCCACTGTAGTCGCCTTGCCAATGGCATCGGATCTGCAATTGTATGATGTGTCGCAGAGCAGCATGAGAGTGAAGTGGAACGGAGTAGCGGGTGCCACAGGTTACATGATCCTATATGCTCCCCTCACAGAAGGATTGGCAGCAGATGAGAAAGAGGTGATGTATTGTGCTTTCATTTGTATAGCAGTTATTAAAAAAATCAGTCTTTTAAAGAATAAACTAGTACGTGTCCTTTAACCTCCAACTTGATCAGCAAATACTTTGCAGTTTTTTTCCATGACTACATCAAATACTGTATATGTTACAGACTATGAATAAAGTGCAAGTGCCAATTGGTTATTTTTATATGTCGTTGTCATAAAAATGCAACAACTTCAACTGAATTTAAGTGATCCTTTTGAAATTATGTATGAGATGATACTGTGATCATTGTATAAGACTAACACTCAAAGGGAGAAAGAAAATAAAGTAAAACTAAGATATTTTTAAGTGTGCTATCTGAAGAATATGAACTTTAGCCTTTGTTCTCATCAGGGCCTTTAAATGTAAATACCATTTGTAGGTCTGACCTTCATTGTTTTTTTCTTTTAGTTCTGTTCAGCCTTTACTTTTAAATTTAAAAATAATGCCTTCCATCAAAAGTGATTTTAGAACACATTATTTAGAAGGAAAAGAAGGTGGGACAGGGCAAAGTCTAGTCTTTTGTCACTAAAATAGTAAAACCAATAGACTTTTCTAAAGTTGCTAGCATAGTTCCAACGGAACTTCTGATCTAGGATTTTAAAGTTTTTATGCTCAAGTTTCCGTATGTATAATTAAGGTTATGTACAACATCTGCATTCAAGCAAAAACACTCAAAAGCATGCAGGGGCATGTGAGCTTTCAGTGCAGGAAGCTACTGAAAGCCGGTATAGACTTGTGCTGTCTGATAAATGAGTGGCTGCGAGCACTGTATTCTGTTAAAAATGGGGCCTCCCTGAGAACTAGGTGGTTCAGGAGGCCTAAGCTTTACCTTAAAGAAATAAATACAGTCAGTCCATATGGCTCTTTGTGAAAGGTGGAGAAGGAAAATGATGCACACCTCAAACAGCAACAAATCTGAGCCTCAGTGGGAATGGCAATCAGCTCCTCCAGTGATTTCATGTGATTTTCAGATCTGTGACCGAAGATGAAACAAAAGGTAGCTGGAAATGAAAAGGCCTTAGTTGTGGAGAACTAGCAATTTCGTTATTGCTAGTATGAGTAGTGACTTTTAAAGCCCTCTTACCTATGTGTTTGGCTTTTTGACAATTTTGATGTTTCAATTACTGTGCAATATCCCCAAATCTTGAGCAAAGTACTGCAGACACAGTATCAGACAAACGCTCAGCAGAGCATTTGATCACATATCTAATTTCAAGTGTGTAATTAGTATTCTTCCCTATTATGAACTGTTTCAGAAATAATGTGTCTTTTTTTCATGGGGTTTTTAGATAAAAATTGGGGAGGCCTCAACAGATCTTGAACTGGATGGACTGTTGCCAAATACAGAATATACAGTCACAGTTTATGCCATGTTCGGAGAAGAAGCCAGTGATCCCCTTACAGGACAAGAAACTACATGTAGGTAGCACATATCTATATATCTATCAGTTCAGTGTTAACAGACCTTCCAAACAGTCTCTGAACATATTAGACCAGGCATTTGATTTTAAAATCTGACTAGAATAGTCCATTGGGCTCTTAACTGTACTTCAGTTTCTCTGAGTGAATGCTTAATTTACAGAGGCTGAGGATTTCTACAAAACAGCTTGTTTTTGCAACAGGATTGTGAACTTGTCTCTCTTGTTGGTAGTGGTACTACGGTTGCCCATGCTGATCTTGGTGGAATTACTGACAGTTTTCCAAACTTGCTGACGGTGATTGAAGGTCATCACATAGCTCTAAATTGATTGGCTCTAAATTGAGATTGCTCTGTTTAGCCTCCTGTAGCTAGAGAACCAGGTGTGTGGGGGAGCCTGCTCAGAAGGAGAAAGTAATTGCTCTGGCTCAGTAGTAGTACAGACAGAAAAGAAGCAAAGACAAGATTTCTGTCCAACCCCTGCTGCCCAACATCTGGTTAACAAAGGGTTGGAAAGTGCCTGTGCACTCATGATAGATGATGTGTTTTTAATAAGCAGCAAGAATTTTGCCAGCTAAATTCTGTCCTCTGCAGTCTGTACACAGCCCTTTATGTCAACTCCCTAAAAAGCCTTAGCATTTGGAAGACAAAGGATTTGAAAATAAGTGATTGTGCTGCTGCTGGGCTATTTCTGGGACTGCATTCAGTGACATTTGTGTTGCTCCCAGCAGCGGAGTGAGTGCATCCTCTTGTTTTGTACTCCTGGTATGAGTGACTTGGGCAGTGTGAAAGTGACTTGCATTTAATAGGTGAGAGAAGTTCGGGCATGTGAATGCTAAGAAAAGGAAAGCCCAGAGCAATTGCTTGTAAGATCAGCAAGCAATAGGGGAAGGAGCTCTAGGAATGGTGTTTGCTGGGTCTTCTCTAGTAGGTCATTTGTAGACAGACAAGTGTCAATAGTGAATTAATGCAACCTGGGCACGTTTGTGGACTTGAAATGAGTGTAGAGGATTCCCTGCTGGAAGATCGAATTTTTGGCTCTGTCCCTTTCTCCCTCTCTTTGTGTCGCACTCCTTGTCTCACACACGTCTCCATGCCTGCACCCCCCACTCTGGCTTTTGGTTGATATCTGCTCAATATCTGGTTTTCATTTCTCCTAAACAGTAGTTTATGTAGTTTATGACTGTGCCAGCCTGAATTCACTTCATACCATATGATCTTGGAGACTGCACAGCACTAAACCTGACTAACACATTGGATGGAAGATCACATACAAATTCCAGATACTTTGGCACAAACTGAGGTTTCCTGGCCGCTGTCTGATCACAGAAGCTAGTAACATATATTAGTCAGCCCATCATATTACTGCTGCTACCAGACCAGAATAAAAAAGAAACCCTAACTACTCTGCAATCTTCATTTATTTTTAGACTGACAAAATGCAGCCATCTCTGGTCTTTAGCACTGTAATATGAAAAAAGATTGATTCTTTCCTATACAGCTATTCAATTAAGCTCTCTGCTAACAGGATTTGATGGATCAGGCAGCGAGGCAATCTAGGAGGAAGAAAGCTCTTGGTGATCACATATGTCAGTGTTCAACACTAATATCTTCACTGTCTGTATTCTGATTTAAGCTACTTTTTTTTTTTTTTTTATTAGTTTTTTTTTTCTTTCAGTGGTTATTTCTGGCTTACAACTTCTGAATAGGCTTCTTAGTATTTTCTTCCTGGAGTTTATATCTGCCTGAAGAGCGATCTGCCAAATTTGCTGTAGTATTACGTGTAGTATCTGATAATCTGTATTTAGTAAATAATATTCTACACACTGTATCATCTTGGTTACTGTAGCAAAACCTTTCGCCATGCCAAACAGAGACATGATCATCAAGCTCCTTCTGGGGCGTAATTTCATTTTGGGGCCAGGATTCATCCAAGACTCACTGTAAATATCACGTAAGTCTGGCATCAGGACTGCCTGTCTGATTGAGAGCAATGTCGTCAGGAGACATTGCTCAAAAAAGAGCTGAGACTGAAGCATTTTGTTGTATGACCTGGATGGTGGAGTGAAATGCATTCTACAACTGACAGAAAGTAGAAAGGAAAGCCAGCACGTGATACTCCCTTCACTAGACTCAGAATGTGTGGCAAACCCATTTAGTACAATTCCAATGTGTTCCCGTCTTCTCTATTCTCAGAGCCAAGTTGACTGTTCCTTGGCTGGTTGCAGATTTTGAATTGATACATGGCTAAAGATCCCACATAATATATGAGGGGTTTAAAATCTGTGCTTTTTCCCATGTGCTCTTGTGTGAGGGAAGCAGCTTCTGAAGTGCTGATATTTATCTGTCCACATGGATTGGAGAGGAGTGTGTGTGTGAAGGCAGGATGGATAGGGAGACGTTTCACAATTCAGAGGAAAGTAGCAGATGTTGGGCTAATACAGAACCTACTGCTGAGAGTAACAGACAGCACAAATTGCTTTCTGTGGTGTGACAGAAAAGTGGGTGAAATCTGAGACTTTCTCTTGCATGACCTCATTTTCCTTCAACCCATGACAGTCAAGGAATAAATAGTAGATAAATATGGCTTTGACTGGGGTTGCTGTCAGGAAACAGCTTCTTTCTGTAGTAAAAGAGAAAAGATCAAGTAAAGGTAAAAAAATAGCATGTTTGGAAATCTTCTGAGCTAGTTATACTTTTTGGACAAACTTACTTTTATGTCAGGAACTTTTAGGATTCAGAAAGTTTTTTGCCAATATACTACGGTCAAGAAATATTTTTTCTGGGATACACATAAAAAACAAATGCATATAGGGTAAAGATCTAGTTGAATTAACTTAATTCACAAATACTAACACAAATTTATTGCAAGCTTTGTGTAAGCTAGGTCTTGGTGTGATATCTGCAATGAACAATTGCGTAATTTCTTTGTTTTTCAGTATTAATTGAGATGCATTCAGCAAAACTGAAAGTTCTGTGCCAATGAAGAGCTAAGCCATTTTACCTGCCTTTAAGTACTTTTATATCTCTGTTGATGTAGGTCTTTTAATAGGAATATTAGTGATAAAAACTTTTGAATGGAAAATGTATTATTTATTTTCAAGACACAGCTAAAACTTGGAATCACTTTCATGGTTTTATCTCTTTTCATTTCAAGTGCCTCTAAGTCCACCAGCAAATTTGAGATTTTCTGACGTTGGACATAGTAGTGCTAAGCTAACATGGGATCCTGCTTCCAAAAATGTAAATGGCTATCGCATCATGTATGTTAAAACAGACGGAACAGAAACCAATGAGGTAAATTATTAGCACCTCTTTTTCCTTAACCAATCTCAAACCTCCCCAGACTTCTGTAATTATTAAGGATAATGTTTATAAACAAAAATTACAAGCTTGCAAGCTGTAAAAAAAGATTCGCTAGAGAATTCTGCAACTTGGTGCAAAGAAGAGTTTGTTGGTATTGGATATATGTGTTTGTGGGGGACAGTACTCTGAACTTCTTACATATCAGAACAGTCATTTGCTGGGGCACTACTGAAGGAAACTACTCAAGTGAACAATGGTCTGTACGAGCATGATCTTGACTAAATGTATGGTATGCAAATATTTATTCTTGGTTCAGTTCAGATGATAAGTCTTTTGATGTATCATGTCATGGACTCAAGCTTATTCAAAAAGACTGAAGGCTTCATCACATTTCCTTAACATTTATTGCTCTAATTATATATTGAAAACTCTCTTCCTAGAAAAAGGATTTGACTTGAACAGAGTGCTGAGATGATACCAAGTTGTTCTAACTTACACTCTTGCGTTTAATAATTTGCTTATGCAGTATTTAGTTATGACTTGTTATTGAAGGTGTTTTATAATACCTTTTAGCAGCATAAATTCTGTGATACAATGAAAAATGTGGTGGAATGATTAATACAGAAATATTAATGCAGAAATCTGAAAAAATACAGAAATTTTAAAGAGTGAGTTTGATTATGAAAACAGTCCAGATCCCTTACAAAATAAGTTGTCATGGATAACTTAGGCCTCAAAAAAAAAAAAGTCTTTAATAGTAGTTATCTGTGATTATGTTTCTTTTGGGACATATCTGGCCTTTCATCCATATGAGATGGAATATTTGTATTGAACCTGAAGAAACAGTTGCCAGCTTTGGAAGGGAGCATACCAGTGCAATGTTTTGTGTCTTTTGTGTCTTCTAGGTCCCTTAAAACTTAAATTAGAAATCATTTGACCTCTTCCTATTGATTACCCTTAATATAGATAATATGCCTGATTGTACTCCTCACAGTGGTATTTGAACTTCTCATGCTCCCGATACTTATGCTTTTTATTGCAAGTGAATGTTCAGTTCACTTTTCCTTTGCGTCTGTTCAAAGAGCAGGTGGCATTTTTTTGTTTGCTCTGCATTGGTAGCACTTCCTCTGTGGTGCTGAGCTACATGACACTGAATAGTTGGACTGATAAGCTGTTTATACAGCTTTATGTCCCTGGCAGAGTCAGTTAAGTGCATCCTGGAGAGAGACCAGGTGTAACTGTCATGTTGTCTCTTGGCAAATGTTAAACGTCACGGTTTATGCAGTCTTTGTCCGTGATAAGGGATTGGATTTAATAGCTCAAAAAGTCATCAGTGCTGATGCTAGCTAGAGTTAGGCTACCAAGTATGAATTTTCCTTTTCCATGGTTTGTCATAAGCAAAATTTTCCTTTTCTGTAGTTTATCTATTTTAACTGATTTTGTCAGCTCTTATGGCCCTGAGTTGCTAATAGTTTCACAGAATTTCTCTACTGATTACATGACATTCTCTTTCTGTATGATTATTACCCAGCAGAATTTCACACACTGATAATGTATTGTGTGGTCAATATCTATTGCAAGTTATGCTTTCTCTAGGTGGAAGTTGGTCGTGTTTCAACCCATACTCTGAAAAGTTTGGCACCCCTTACAGAGTATACTGTTGCAATTTTCTCCCTGTATGATGAAGGACAATCTGAACCGCTTACTGGCAGCTTTACCACGAGTAAGTATTGCCGAGCTTTTGAAGGCTTTCCAAGAAGAAATTTTATACTTTCTTACGTTATTGGAAAGTAAGATTAGTTACAGCAAATGTCTCTGGCTGTGAATTCAGATATATGGAATACTTTCTGTTATTTTCATTGGTGTTTTTGGCTTCTTTACTCCCTTATTGTGGAGTCAATTGCCTCTTTACTCACATGAGTAATCTCTTGACATCATGAAAACATCTCCACAGCATTCTGAAGCATTATTCAGTGTGATGGCATTTGTATCTCCAGCTGAAGTTTAATGAGTTTTGAATCATACGTTTAACCAGTGAACTATTTAGGCACTAAAGGGTAGAACCTTATATACATACAGATGAACTACATCAAAAGGAGAAAATATAAGGCATTTAAGGTTCCTGTAGTTTGTGTAGCATAGGTATAGTTTCTGTAACTGTAGTTCTGCATCAAACAAACAGCCGATGACAAATATTAATGCTTTCCAACATAACAATGGGAAGAGAAAGACTTTGAGGGAGGAAAGAGAAAGATGAGGTGAAAGAGGAAGGAACAAGATAGGTATGGAACAGAGGTTGATACTCACATGCAAAGTGCAAATGGAAATAGACACAGAGTCCAAAAAGGGCAGAGATTGGGACTTTGCTTTGAGATGGAAGGAAAGAGCATGGTGCATAGAGCTCTGAGCAAAGGACTGAGGGTTGAATGCAACTCCATCAGTGAAGAGAGGACAAGGAGGTTTGTCCAGTTAGAATAGGTAGAGTCTACTCCCCTTCCCAAACTACAGACCCACTTCCCTAAGTACAAGTAAATGTGTAAAGAATTTTCTAGTGCCTTTGTTGCCTACCTCTCATGTTATACTCTTTTTAACAAACTGCAAATAAAATGGTATGTGTCTAACATTGCCATCTATGGAAGTCTCAGAGAATAATTTACTCACACTTTTCTTTTGTATAATATTTTGCAGAAAGAGTTCCAGCTCCCCAGCATTTGGAAATTGATGAAGCATCAACAGATAGTTTTAGGGTCAGCTGGAAGCCCACCTCATCAAATATTGCTTTTTACAGATTGGCATGGATTCCTTTGGATGGGGGGGAATCCGAAGAGGTAAATTGCCTTAATTTTCTGAGGGGGTGAAAAGGAAGAGCGAATTCCATTCTAATGACACCTGTGCTGCAACTTTTGCCATTTAAATATGTCCAGCTGATTTACAGAGAAATCTGCCCCTCTGCAAAGCTCTCTAAACAAAAATCAAACCAATATTCCAGTTTCGTTTTGAAGAGGAAGTGAAGAAAGAAGAGATCTTTTGTGAATGATCAGTCTTATCTGTAATGTGCCAACTGCCACAGAACTAGCATTGTTGTTTGATGTCACTTCAGTTTTCAGACGTTCATGTTCTTCACTTTGCTGTAAAAAGGGTGGCAGTAGCTGAGCAAGAGTAGCATAAAGCTCAAAATTTGTCTAATGTACTTGCCACAGTAAAGTTGCCTGTGAAGCCTTAGTTATGTAATGTTACAAAGGGAAAAGTTTACAGACAGTAAATTTATTATATTGTTCCTTTATTCCTCTTTTACAGTTCTGTCTCTTTTTCCCCCTCATGCTGTATCTTTTGCTTTAAGCCCTTGTGTGTCTCATCCATAGTGTCCTTTTCATCGATGGAATTTTTAAATGATTTTTCATCCCTTTAGCTTTTCCTTTTTTATTATCTTTTTCCAAATAGAAAAAGACAGACACTTTCTCTCACTTTCCCAAATTTTCATAGTCTGCCTCATTTCCTCTTTCCCTTTCCTTCTTTATTTACTCATCATTTTGGCTTCTTTTGTACTTCTCAGTATTTAATGACTCTCATACATCTTGCTCTCTTGGCATCAGCAATGTGAGAAGAGGCCACATCTGCAAACTGTTTATCTGGGTACAGAACTCAGGGGGAAAGATGACATTTCCCACCTGGCCCTAGGTTTCATGCATTGTTTTGTCATCCATTAGGGCAGAAAGCAGTCGATTTAGCTTAGATTATGTGTCATTTTTTTCTGTAAATTTAACTTAGCCTAATTCTTTCCTCCCTTTTACCTAGTGAGAGGTATTCATGCAAGAAAGAAAGAAATTAGAGGATTGAGCAGGGAAAAGAAGGAGTTGGCAGATGAGTGAGTGAACATAGGTCGTTCTCTAGCACTTTCTTCTGCAGTAGATGAACTGATTTGTTTCTATTTAAGTTCCAGTGAGTAGCTGCCAGTGAACCCCTTTAAGACATGTGCTTTTTAAAGTGAAATTCAAGGTATCTGTGTTCTTTGAGTGTGAGAATAAATTATTAAGAAATATTTGAACTGCTAAGGTTCCACTTCTTCATTGTATTCACTATGAACTGCTGGAGCCCCTAATATTTTAGCATGTTGAAATATTAAAAACGCCCAAGCTGCCTTCTTGTTCTCCTTGCATGACCTCTCTAATGGGGTCAGGTCTAGGATAGCACAATACCTCCGGGCTGTTCGCTCTTTAAGCTTCTTTCCCAGCTAAGTGATCAGTCATGCAGAGAAACAACATGCACTCCCTCTGTCTTTATTCCAAGACCCAACTTGCCAATTAGCTGAGTGGGGTCAGGGGGTGGTGGTGAATTACACACCTCTCAGTTCACTTCACCCACACTGCTGATGGGTAAGGAGGGTTCAGTGGGGTGTTAGCACTAAAAAGCCAGAATAAATTTAAGAGTGACCTTTACAGTAGAGAATGCATGCTGTTATACTTGTGTGCTTTTTTCCGGTTTTTGTCCTGCCCACTTGAAAGTTCAGCACTTTGTGATGGTTTTTTGTGGGCTACATTGGCAGGGAGTGGAGGGTGATGCTTCAGAAAGTATGCCAAAATTAAATGTGAGACAGTAACAATGTATAGATATTTTATAAATATTTGATACACAACTAGAGGCTCTGGGGAGTTGAAAAGGAAGGCATTGCCTGTATCTACTTAGTATACAGCTAATTTCACTCAAAGCTTGTTTCTGAAATTTTCCTGAGAAAATCTGTGCCAGAAAGTGGGCAGCGTGGGATGCCTGATTCATTACTTGATAGTTGTAGAAGGCATGGCCCCAACTCATTTCTTTCTGCTTTTGATTTTTGTATTTGAGTTGAGAAGGTCTGATCTCAAATTGTGTTATGGGTCCCTTTTCCCCAGGACCAACTCAGGAAATCTCCTGTGGTAGTTAAAAGAATGAAGTGGGATTCATTGTTTCTGCTAACCACTGCGGTAGATTGCAGCACATATCTATTGTTTGATTTTCGTTATAAATCTAACTTTGATATTGTGTATATAGTGACCACCTTTAAAAACTTGGCAGTGTTAACCTAGAAAAAGGCTGTTTTATTGTAGTATCTGTCTGCATAACCTAAAAACTATTCCCAAAACTGGTCAGCCCATTTCACCAGAATTACTGCTCAGGCTCCTAAAGCATTCTGCTTTATAGTCCCTTGCACTCCAGCTCCTCCCCATCTGTTGATATCTTCCAATAAAATAAATGAAATACAAAAAAATCTGAAGTGATACCTTCTCCTTACAGTTAACATTGCACATGTGAATCTTCTGCCGCTGTCAAAGGTAGAAATAAGGAAAATTACTATTTAACACTTCACACCATATAGCAAACTTCTCATCAGGACATCTCTCCTAATCCCCAAGTCTGCAGCAGATATTCTTTCAAGTTGCGTTCAGAAATGTGGAATCATAACTGGGATTACAGTTCTGGTATAGAAACAGCATTTTGTAAGGCTGTGGAGATGCTGAGTGCATTTGTCATAACAGTGCTTGAATGGTATGGGTGTGAATGAAAGTTAATCTACCTTTTTATATTGCTTTAATTGATAACTGTTTTGAATTGTAGTAATTTTTTTTTTTAAAAAAGCACATGTTCAGCTTTAGCAATTAGTTAGTTAGTTGTGAGTGAAAGCATGAGACTATACATTTAAAATATTCTTAAGTGTTTTTTTCCCAGATGTACTCTGTGATACTTTTTATTGCAATATGGCTAATAAATTTTTTGGGCAGATCTGAGTGTAGATATAATTTATTTTAAAGGCGAATTAATTTTCCTTCTTTCATTTTAGTCAGTTAATGTAAATTAATCAAATGCAGAACTGATGTTCTTTAATCTTGCTGTGTTACTTAGGTTGTCATAAATGGAGATGCAGACAGTCACGTTATAGAGGGTTTGTTGCCCGACACAGAATATGAAGTTTCTTTGCTGGCAGTTTTTGATGATGAAACTGAAAGTGAAGTTGTTGCTGTTCTGGGAGCTACATGTAAGACAAACTCTTGATCGTAATTTTTAAAGATGCTTAAGTGATTTAGATTTGATGCTTATAGCTTATATATAAAATGTGGTTAGCTTTGGGTAGCTATAATATTGAAGAATGTGGTGGTTTAGCACCAGGGCTTTGCTGACTGTATTTTTTGCTTTTCTTGTTTAATATTATGTGGAGATGGCTTTGAATCAAAATGGTGGTTTGGCTCTCTGTCTGACCTGTGGTATTAATAACCTTTGGAACTGGGTAGATATTGTTCCATCCTACATTTCAATATTTAGTCTTTGAACAAGGTTCCTTATGAGAAGATATATCAGATTTTGGAAGAGATTTGTGTTAAATGTTTTAAAGTAAATAATTTACAGGAAGTTCACTTAAGATGTTTGGAATTTTCAGTATTTTTTTACTTTTTTATTTATGTAATTTTTTACTTTTTTTATTTATGTAATTTATACTCACTGGTGAATTCGCTCTTGCCTGAAATAATGGTCCAAAACAGCTTACATAGGCATCCTGTGACATTAATATGACAGTAACAAAGATAAAATTTGACAGTCATGTACAGTGTATTTTATGGTTTATAATCAAAACAGTGGCCAGTATTTCAGGAAGATTGTTCTATTCTCTTTTTATGGATAATGACTTGGTTAAGTAAACAGCTGTATTTCTTATGAATAAGTTCAAAAATTTATTTGATTTTTAGTAACTTAATAGCAGGCCTAATCTTGAACCTTCTATTAAGCAAGAGCCCTTACCCATTGAAATTATGCTAGTGTTGCCCAGTGTTGCTGAGTGTACTTTCTGTTTTTCACTTGGACAGAAATAAAACACTCTGAAAAAACTTTCAATTTAATTAATCTGACAACCTTAATAAATGGTCAAGGTGGAAGTTCAGCCAGAAATCTGGGAAAATATATGCATTGTTACTTAATTGTAGAGTTTATAATTATGTCTTATCTGTAGATCTAAGTGCTAATCCTGCAAATATATGGGCCTAAAGTAACCTAAATGAATAATTCCCTTGTAGTCTCTGAAATGCCTGAAGCGTGGGGAATACTTGTATGTGTGAGCAAATAGTTTCATTGTCATAGTTAGAAATACAAGAAAAATACTGTGACTTCCATGTCTTGTTGAATTGTTAGTGAGCTGAGTACTGTTTTTCAGTTGCAAATTCTACCAGAATGCCTTCCACGGCGACTACTACCAGTGCCACAACCTCTGAGCCCACCACAGCAGGTAAGCAGAGCAACTGCCAGCAGTTTAAATGCTGAGTGCAGAGCACTGAGGCTCCCCAAAGGCACCACTAGGTCTGGGGGCAGAGAGCTGTGATGCTGCTGAGGAGCTGATAACCCCAGTTTCTGATGGGAAGGGACACCACTTCTCCTGCACCACCCTTCGGTGTGTGGACAACTTCCTGCACCTGCCACGTGTGGATGAGGAGCCAACCCATCACAAGTGTAGGGACTCTGAATGATACCAGTGGTATTATGTAGGAGTACACAAATTAATTTGGAAAATTAAGATAGAATTTATCTTTCCCTTTATAAATATGAGCTTGGAAACTCTTCAGAATTTTGTTTAGTTTTGGGTGTTCTGTTTCTTTTCCCTGGAATTAGACTGACCTTTAAGGAATAATGTTTCTGGATTATTTATCTTCTGAAGCGTTGTAGTTTTGATTATTCTAAAGCTCCATAATCCGAGTAAGATAAACAAAGCAGATGGGATAATATATATTAATGGCAGTATGGAATAACTATTATTTGAATAAGTGCTTACAATTTTTATGTTATTAAACCCAAGTATGACTGAAGTATATGGGTTTGCCCCATGAAGGACCTGCAGACCCACCATGACTCCAGCAGAGTTTGCAGCTACTTGTTGATAATTAGCACAATATCTAAATTATTTCAAATCTAAAAATAGAGTTGAGAAAATATTAATTAAATATTTTTGGACTTAGTTTTTCGAACAGGAATCAGAAACCTTGTTATAGATGATGAAACAACCTCAAGTCTGAGGGTGACGTGGGACATTTCAGATTATAGTGTCCAGCAGTTCAGAGTGACCTATCTCACTGCGAAGGGTGACCGTTCTGAGGAAGCGGTAAGAATGGTCTGTATGGCTTTTGTAATTGCCTTCATAAGCTTGTTTAATAATTGCTAAGACTTGATCTCTTCTTATATGACACTTTTGTTGCAATTAGTAAAGGATCTGTGTTTGGTATTACTGTGAGATTGAACTTCAAAGTTCTAATTGTGTAGCACCTGCTGCACTGCAGGCAACAGCAGTCAAATGTAAGATCAGAGCCCAGTCACACAGATGGTTAATGAAGTCACAGTTAAAAGACAGGCTGGCTGCCCTCTTTTTCCTGTATTTTTTAAATTTGTACAAGTTTGGTTTTTATCGTTTTATGTTTAATTTTATTTTTTATTCCTAGGCCTTTTTCTCTCTTAATTAAGTGACACTTAAATATTTGTACAGGACAGTCCTAAGTAATTTTGGTTTTCCTTCAGCAGTTTTACTCCTTCCTGAAGTGTCTTATGTTATGCTAAAGCAATGTAATTAAAGTTCAAATGCAGAGTTTTCATACTTCTAGTTGACCTGTCCATGTCACAGTAAGGACAGCACTTTTTAACCTAAGCGCCTAAGAATATTTGCTCTTTTTCTAATACCATGTGATGGTCAAAATTGAAGTTGTCCTGCACAGAAAAAGCTTCTGGTCATCTAGACTTTGGAAAATATTTGAAAGAATGAAGATTCCTGCAGGTACTCTTTTGAGCATATAGCAAACAAACAAACAAACCCACAAACAAACAAACCAACAAGAAGCCCTAGCTGTATTATTTTAAGATTTCACAAATTTTGAGATACTTTCCGAATTCTGTGAGACTAAGTGCCTCTTTAAATTATTTTTAAATTGGGGAAATATTAGTTTTGCAGTGCTTGGTTTCCACTAAAACTAAGTTATAAAATTTTTGGGGTAGCTCTATGTAGATACATTTAAAAGATTAAGTTGTATATTTTTCAAGGTTATTTTCTTAGTAAATAGCTCAGTATGCAAAAGTACTCTGCACATCATTCTCCCTCTGTGTCTGCCATGTGAACTCACTTCTGTTGATATAACAGTTATGTCAAAAATATGGGCTATTCTTTTTGATGTCTAGCAGCTGACATTTTTAGCCCTATATCAGAATATATCAATAAAAATATTAAAAGGAGTTAGTTGAATATCTTTTTTCTAGGAAAATATGAATCAGTTTTTTACATTTTGATTTCATTCATCTTTTATGAGACCCTGCTGGAAACTTACTTTTTAGCCATCTTTCAACTATAATCTGAAAATGAGTTTTCAATGCAGTGGTGTCCCTTTGGACTGGGAAACATGCTTTATGAATTTACCTTGACTATATGTTAGTATATAATATGGTGGAAAACTTGCACAGTGTAATGGCACAAATTGTACTGTTCTTCTGAGAATAACCCAAAATTTCTGAAATTCAGATCTCAGATTTACTGTTTCAGCTCTCGAGTTCAGTTGGATGGTATAAATGTCATTCTGTTCCAGTATTCAATGACTGTTATTTAAAATTAAATTAAAACTGTAGGAAAGGTATTCAAATTGTGGCTATCAGAAGGATATTAGACGTGATTGAAAACCTCATTAAAGAAAATTATATAACTATATGATTGGGTAGGTACTTGGCTCTAATTCTACAAAATATTTAATTTTAAGTACGCTCCCATGTCTTATTATCTTTGGTCACCATTCAGCAAACAGATTAACCCTGTTTCATCTTTGAAATTAATCACATGCCTAAATACTTTACTGAATAAGGAATTATGTAAGATTATACTTAAAATTAAGCACACTTTAAATGGAAGGAATGTATTTTATCACGTGGCTTCAAGCACCTGAGAGGTGCAACACAGATGTCAATAAAACAACACAGATGTTCAGTTTTTAGGGGACTCCTTATATGTTTAAGTACATATTTTAAGCAGAACCCAAAGGTTTTGTGGAATTTGGGCTTAAATGTACTATAGCGTGACAGTTCTGTGGTGAATGCTTAAGTTTTTTTGGCTCTGATTTCAGTGATATAAGTTTCAGTTACGCCTCCCTTCCATAAAAATATTAATAAGTTTTATAATTCTTTATGCAATTGGCTGAAAATCAGGGACTAGAAAATGTAATAGAATACAGAAAGGTCAAGCCCTAAATTGCATGTATGTTCTTGGGTGTGCTGTACATACTGGAAAGATCAAATTTTTTCTCTTCCTTAAAGCCAAAAGTGTTTCTCACTGCTGAAAACTGTATTGGTCTGCAGGAGGTCTCTGATTTGCACATGTGGAAAGGAGAGAGTTCTCAATGCTTGCATCCTCTACCCTAAAAAACCAAAATAGTTGGGGTTTTTTTTTAGAAACTTGGTTTGTATTTTTTGAGTTTACATATGGAAGAGGGACATGGGAATCTTTTATGCATATGTATTTAGATGGTTTAAATCCAGTTTTGATCAAAGAATGAAGCACTTCTTTGACAAATCTCAACACCTGTGTGAGCTAGATAAATTTCCTTCTTTGTATCACTTGCCAAAATTAGACGTAGTTTGAATGTATCCTGGAGTGTTGAAACTGGTGAGACCTTTCTTTTCTCGTGTATGTGCTTCGAAACTTTGCCATCATCACATGCATCAGTCTTCTTTGAAACAGCAAAATACTTTTATAGACTTAGTTTCTGCTTTTTCCCCCTGAGATTAATGGGCTTAAGGTTCTCTCAACTTCTTGCCAAATATGTGCAGTTGGTGGCTCAGGGTATAGATTCACACTTCACTGTGAATTCACTGTCACTTCCAACAGCATCACTTCAGAGCACAGGTGTCGGTGCAGGAAACACAGGACTAGTTTCTCTTTTTTATGATGCCCACTCCAGGTGCTCCCACTCAGGTGGCTCCCACTCAGGCTTTGGAGTCTCTCTGAGATTAAAATTTTACTGACAATTTAAGCGATTGCAAGGCTTTGCTTGGCACCTCTACCACCACTATTGTGACACTAGTTTTTGAGGCTCTGGCTAAATACTATAATCTATTGAAGAGTTTTAGAAGTAGCTGCTTATGGGGAAACCTTTTACTATGCTTAATTCAGTGAGTTGAAACATTTACTCTAGAACACCAAAAACTGCCTGGAGGAATTTCTACAGCTTCTCTACTTCTACCAGGTTTTCTGGTTGGACTTCTGTTACAGATCTTCCATATTTCACAGCAATTTGGGATCCTCTTGTACTTGTGGGATGTATTCCTACTCCTAGATATCTGCCTTCATTTGCTTGTTCCCAGACTAGATGAAGATGAGACAAACATGTTTTATTCCTGCTTGCTCAGTTCAGTGCTTCCCAATCTCATGAACTGATTTTCCTTCCTTCCAGGGAAGGAGAATTTTCTGTCTCCAAAGAACATAACAATCAACCTTTATTAATGTGCATAGCTTCAGAAAATCTAGAAATGTCATAGAATAAATATAAATAGAGGATATATTTTGTCTGTACAGTAAAATTGTTGCAGCACTAACTATCCAATGTAGTATATGGTTTATGGAGCTGTAGTGGCTCATAGGTTTAATATAAAATGGTATTATCACATAGGCACATTCTCCTTTTTATTTTGGTTGGGTACAACAGTAGATCTGTTAAAAGGATGGATAATGTAATTATTTTATTTTACTGTAGAACATCAAGAATATTTGAAAACGCAAGTATACAGCAATGCTAGTGGAATGAAGTGTCAGAGATGATGTAAGATAAAAAAGCTTTTTGGCTCCAGTCGTTAAGTTTGGTTGTTTCTGCTTTTTCTGACCCTTCAGGTAATGGTGCCTGGGAGACAAAATACTCTTCTGCTTCACCCTCTGCTGCCTGATACAGAATACAAAGTTACCATAACTCCCATCTATGCCGATGGGGAAGGAGTCAGCGTCTCAGCTCCTGGCAAAACTCGTAAGTACAAACTTTCTGCTTGTCTTTGGCCAGGATATGCATGAAAAAAGGCTTGCTCTTGTTGCCTTTTTTCCTTGGCTGTAGTAATGTATTTTAGTATAAATGTGGGCTTATTTTGCATGATTTGTAGGACTTGAACATTATATAAATCTCAGTTGATTGATTTATAAACAATGGGTTTCTTCTAACTAACAAGTTATATTTTATATTCAAATACTGTGAGTTTGAAGAAACCTTTTGAGTAATAAAGCTGGTAAGTCCTTGATAACTAACCCACCAAGGACAAGCAAACTGATACAGAAAATAAACAATGCCTGCTGAGATGATATCAAACCAACAATTGTACGGTTAGATTTTCTTTTGTGTGAGATCATTATTTCCTAAAGGTCATTAGAAATGCTGCTGAAGTTCTTATAAAAGTGATTGCATTATTTCTAGAGATCTAACCAAGTACCAAATGATTACTCAGATGTAGTTTTAGTTTCCTCTCTACTGGATATTGAAAAAACCATCTCATTATGCACTACTAGTCATGATAGTATAATTTTATTGAATTATTCTCCTAATTTACGTAATTTCTGCCTAAATTGAAGTGCTATTTGTGCAGAGACTTAAATCAGTTATAAATCATTCCTTTGATTCCATTTGATGCGATTAAGTGTTCAGAAGAGCATGATTTATGCATTAAAAACTTTAGTGCACTTGGACTGGAAGAAACTATGCAATATATAATTATCTCTATTTTACATTTTTACCAAAAAAATAATTTTTTTTAAAAATGTACTGACAAAGTTTGTAATTAATTTAAAAAATCATTGTTGATCCAAGTTTGTAATTAATCCGTTGAGGTAATTCAAAGGATGACTTTGATTAATGGTTTCACCCTGGTAATTTTACCTGTAAATCTGAGAGTACTGGGTATCACTTTTTTTTTTTCCATGTCTTGATTTTTCTGTATGTGCTTGTATGAGATAAACTTGTAAAAGTCCAGTTTGGTTTCCTTTTAGTACCCCTGTCTGCTCCTAGAAATTTGCGTGTCTCAGATGAGTGGTACAACAGATTACGCATCAGTTGGGATGCCCCACCATCAACAACAATGGGTTACAGAGTTGTCTACAAACCTATCAACAGTGAGTTTTTAAACTGATTTTTTTTTATGGTTGCTTCTGACTGTACAAGGTCTTGACGTCACCTTTTGCTGAATTTTGTACTTAAATCTATCAGTTACAGGTACAGCCTTGAAAGTGCCATTTACTTAGGTGTCTTGAGTTTTTGATAGGAAAGTTTCATAGTCACAGAATGATGCAGGTTAGGGGAGATCTCTGGAGATCATCTGGTCCAACTCCCTGAACAAAACAGTGCCAGCTTGGAACAGGTTTTGCTGAACTTTATCCAGTGGAGTTTGTAATATCTCCAAGGACAGAGATTTTAAAACTGCTCTATGCATCTCTTCCAGTTTTTTACTACTGTCACTGTGGAAGTGTCTTTCCTAATATCTTCCCATCTTAAGGCTGATCAATTCCAAGTCTTTCAATCTGTCCTTTTATGTCATTTTACCGTGACTATTTCAGAGACTATCTTTGCTCTCTTCCTGTTCCTCTCTTCTGTGTTCTCCAATTCTTCAACTTCCTTCCCCTCACAATACCAAGTTTTTGTTTCTTCCCAAACACTTGACATTTTATTCATTGCCCATTTTGTGTGTGCTGCATCCTTTGCCCACCTGCACATTGCAGCTAGATATGGCAGCCAAATTCCCTCAGATTTCTTTAGAAAAACAGGGTCCTCTATTGAGAGCAAAACACAAATATGTGACCATTAAGGGACTAAAACACTGTCGAAAGACAATACTGCTGCCTGGCTTCTGAAGTGTATCCAGAACAACTAGGGGAGATGACAAAGGAGCTGTTTGCTATTCTGATTTGGGAAAGTTTTATTCTTTTCTATTTTCATTATCATTTTTGCACAGTATTAAATGATGCTGTTGTATAAGAACCCCCGAGAGACTGTATTGCTGGCTGGCATCTGCTGTGCCCCCTGTTGGTCCTGGCACACCATCAGACTGAGGAGATCTTTGGCTGCCTATTTAGAGCAGTAGTAACTGGGTGAAGCAGAACAAAAGGGTCTTAACAGATGCCAGTGTCTAGCTCTGCCTTAATGAATCCCACTGCTGAATTTCCCAAGTGTGTTGTGTTTTCTATACATGCAAGGATTGAGGAGAATGTCTTTGTTTTTGTGTATGATAAAAAAAATGGGGCCAAAAAATAGCAGTAACTTTAGGAGCACAATTTTTGGATGTATCTAATTCAGTGGACGAGCAAATGATTTTCTAATTTATTTCACTTTTTGCAGTTCCTGGTCCTGCGTTGGAGACCTTTGTAGGGGATGATATTAATACCATTCTCATTCTAAATCTCTTCAGTGGAACGGAGTACAGTGTTAAAGTATTTGCTTCGTACTCAACAGGCTTCAGTGATGCCCTAACAGGCGTAGCCAAAACCTGTAAGAATGATTTCATGCTGTTTAGATCTCTACAGGCTGCTTTTTGTTATAACTATGGGTTTGTGCAGCTCCCAGAAAAAATTTTCACAGGGAAGACTTACTCAGTTATGTGCAAATTGTTTTCCTGAAATAAAAGTCCCTCTTTTTATGAGACTATATCAGGCTTTAAAGTGATCTGCTAGATATTATCAAGACAGAGATCATAAAGTGGGTATTATTTATCAGCCAAAAATATTTTGGCCTAATAGTAGATAAAAATTTCTTTAATGAAAGGCTATCTAATTTTTTTTCTGGCTCCATATATATATAATATTATTTGGTCTTTATGTATCTAAAGCTCAATTTAAAATTGGATTTTGACAGAAATGCTGCTGCTATTATGATACTTTTATACTTATTTTTAGTAACTGAATATTTAGCAGTGTTCATTATTTAGACTTAACTAAATCAACTAAAGTTCCAAACTTTTGGTTTAGGGGTTCACTTTTTTAAAATTCTGTCTTGGATTTTCTTGACTTCTTTTAAGCAGTTATGAAAATTATTTGTTAAAAATTAATTGGCACATGTGTTTCACTATAGTTATTTTATAATTTTTTATCTATGTATATTAGAGGCCTAAATCTAATTTTTTTATATTTAATTTTCAGTGTACCTGGGTGTGACAAATCTGGATTCCTATCAAGTCCGCATGACTAGTCTGTGTGCTCAGTGGCAGCTTCATAGACATGCAACTGCATACAGGGTAGTTATAGAGTCACTTGTGGGTAAGTTACTAAATAATTTGATAAGCAGCTACAGCCCAATCCAGAGATCTGAATTGCATAGCTAAGAAATTGTGTGCAGTCGGACCTGTAGAGTGACTCCTGAAATACTGGAAATGACAGACAGAAGAGAGTTGTGTACACAATGAAACTTTCAGGAGCATTTCTGTCCTTTTACATCAAACAGATGTTGATAACTTGTGCTTTTTATGGAAGGGACTTTCATCTGTTAATAGAAGATAGATGATCGCCTGAGGTTTTCACTGGTGTGAGGAGCAGAAGATGGATAAAGGATAAACTGAATACATCTAAGTTTGTAAATAAACCATCAGCACCAGCTTTGTAGGATTAGGATGGACAGGAGAGGAGGGCAGAAGGGTATGGAAAGCGCTGATTGAATCCAGAACATGCTCACAGAGTCAGAACAATGTCCAGTTTTGTCTATTCTCATTCTGTTGATTGTTCATTTTAGCTTGTAGTAAGATTACTCATCTGGACAAACACGACCTAGGTACCATGAAAAATAACACTGATTTGGTGGAAAAAAAGTTATGACCTTTCTGTGGCATGGCAAGTGGATGGCAGTAGGGTTTGTTTGAAGGTCTGGAAAACAGACAAGCTGTTCAGATCACAGAGACCTTGGCTGGCACAAGACAACACAAACTTCCCTCTGGTCTGGGAGCTAGCCAACATTCTGCTTTCTTCATATAGAACTGCCAGCATTGTTTTAACTGAGCTGAAAGCATCTAAATGTGAGCAGAATGAGGTAGAGTGTGAACAAATGTTCCTTATTAGCATCTGTCATGATGGGATTTGGTTGTCAGATTGGGTATATGTCTCGTTCAGGGAGCAATTATTATTATAATAATTTTATAATAGTATTATTATTATTATATTATAATAGTATTATTTTTATACTAGTGTAGCATCTGATTAACATCAGGTGTTTTGTCCCTGGCAGTGAATGACTGTTTGGCATTTTTTGTATATTCACTGTAAAATGTGAGATCAGTTGCTTGTATTTCACTTCATTCTGCTACAGATTTTGAATTGTGCTGCAAGTTTTAATTCTTATCATTAAAACATGCCTTATTCTATTTCCAGTACCCTAGCCTTTTCCGTTGACAGCATGCTTTCCAATTCAAAATTTAGCAGAATTAATTTTGGAACCATGTAAACACTATTCCTTAACCATCCTGTTAAGTGGTTACTAGTGGAATACAATATCTTGTTCAGTCTCTCTTGCAATTACTAAGCACATTACAGACTGTGAGAAGCAGAGGCATTGACAAAGGTTGCCATAGAATTACATAATGCAGGAATTCCTCATTAGAATGATAATTTAGGACCGGATTCAAAGCCCATTGATGACAGTGTTAGTGTTTTTATTAACTTCAGTGCATGGGCTGAAATTCATCTTTTTTTCTTGAAGATGTTTGACACGTTCCTCAGCTCCTATTTAATATGAAGAATTAAATTTTACAGGAACCTCTGCACAGAGGTGAATTTCTAAAAATAAGGCAGCATATAGTTTATTAATTTATGTCAACCACTTGCCCTTCATCTGCTGTCACGTCCTCTTCTTACTTAGGATTTAAATTACATTATTCAATAAAACAGTAAAGTATATTAATGGTTTCTTTTGTAATTCCAGATGGAAAACAACGAGAAGTAAATCTTGGTGGAGGGACACCTAGACATTGTTTCTTTGAGCTGATGCCTGGAACTGAGTATAAAATCAGTGTTCATACACAGCTTCAGGAGATCGAGGGCCCTGCTGTAAGCATCATGGAGACAACATGTGAGTAAAATAGAGCAGAGTGCAGCCAGCAGTGATAATGCTTCATTGCTTCTCATGTTCTGCCCTTTGCCCACAGATGTGCTACATTATGACTCCTCCACAGAAGTGCAAGATTCTTATCCCACTGCTGTGAATTACTTGTGAAGTCACATTCACCAACTGTATTGTACTTCTTAATGAGAATGAAATAGGGAGGGTTTAGCTTTCTTTGTAAAAAGTCCCACTAGGGGATACTCTGAATATCTGTGACTTCAGGGAAAAAGTACAGAAAAATGAAGTAAACAGAGAAGGTTTTATGTGCTGCAGCTCTTGTCATTTAGTAAAATTTTACCAGTTTGAATAATTTACAATTAAATGGGATGTTGATACCCAATCTACTTAAGTATTTTAAAACAAACCAACCAACCTTTTTTATTATTATTCTCAGTAACACATGGCTAAGAAACAAAAAAACCCACATCACAACTATTTATGAAGGCAATATCTTGCTCTTATGAGTTCAAAATACTGCAAAACAAAGTACAGGAATAACAGAATGAATATTTCAACATTATCTTTCATTTAACCTGTTTCCAGTCTCAGTGGTACCCTTCTTCTCATACTGTATTGCTATACACCACAATGCTGTTACCTTTCTCTCGGGATAGATAATGTTTATGCTTTTTTTCCTTTCCTCCCACACTTCTGATTTCACATAGCAAAAACCTGCACAGGTGCATGACTCCACTTCTCAGTTGTCCAGGGCTCATTCTCAGGGCAGTGAGGAACAAGCCAAGCTTCTCCAGCTTTTTTGAGAAGTGCATTTAGGGTGCTCTGCAGTTAAGGGAGTTAGGAAGCATGAGGAAGAACACACCTTGGCCTACATGTCCATTTAAGAAAGATGGTTTGTGATGCAGACAAATAATTGTATCACTTCAGAGGGAAACTCTTTGAAGAAAGAAAGTCTTCAGGGTGACCTGTACTTCTCTGGTGCTGAGAGCAGCCTTTCAAGTCACGTTACAGCAGTTGTGACCCTTTCTGAATGGGTCTGGTCCTGGATTGCTGCGATCATGGATGTCCTGGGCATTGGTTCCTTGTAGGTGTTTCAGTCTTAGCCCTTTATGTTATTGAAGCCAGTGGGAAAAGCCCCACCAGTTGCAGTGGAAGTCCACGTGGATGTGGACATGAGGATTGTAATGAATCCTGTTTGCACTAATTTTTTGGAAATGTAGGTGTCTTTTCTCAGGCTGTCATATCTAACTCTTATCAGTTGTTTATAAATGTAATTTACGTGTTATAGCAAATAACAAGTTTAGTCTTACTTGAGGGACTTATATTCTGTCACCTGCAGCTTCTTATGCTGAATGCATTGAATAAAAATGGGAAAAATACCCTTGAACAAAAGCAGAAGCTTTTCCTTACGTAGAGTTGTGGAAATCAACGCATGTGCATATTATCTCTGAGAGTTCAGCTGGCCTGTATTGAAAGGCACGAAATAGAGCTCTTGCATTCAGCAAAGCTGTCAATCTGATTGAATATTCAGCTTGGTCTCTGCAAGGTTGTCATACAAAGTTAATTTTCAGAAGTGTGGAGGACGTTTTCAGAAACTCTGTATAATAACCTTAGTGTAAGTTGCTGCAGGCAACAAAGCCACAATCCTGTAGAGTTATGGTTGGAGCTGTGTTTCTAGCTGGAAACATAACAAGGTCTTTCACCAAATTCAGAAAAATCTTGTTCAGAGCAGACTGTGATCTGCTCTAAGTGCAGGCACTAGCTTGCTTTTGCACTTTGTATTGTGGATTGCAGGACTAATACTTTCTTCCTTCCAGGGTGCGCAGAGGTAACCTTCTGTTACTGAGGACTGGTTGTGATCAGAAAAGGAAAGGACACTGACCTTTTAAAAAATGAATTATGGATTCTAGGTCAATAATAGAGCTGTCACATGGTCTGCTACACTGGGGAAACTTAAAAAGGGGCAGTTCCAGTAGTAGTTCAGCTGTATCATTGTATCATTCACATTGAAATGCAGCCATTAATTGTTTTGTATTAGTAGTATCCTTTCTTGGGTGTTCAGAAGAGGAGGACATTACTTGCGCACACTCACCTATATTTATTTCTAATATCATAACCAGTGGATTAGAGATAATGAATTTTAAATGTGGAGAGGAGTAGAAAATGCTGTGTTTATTATAGATAGAATATATTGGGCTTTTAAGCATGCTTGAATATTCCTTCTTTTTATTCTCCAGTACCATTTCCAACTCAACCACCAACAACACCTTCAACACCACCTCCACCACCTACAATCCCGCCTGCAAAAGAAGGTAAGTGCTGCATGTGTGAGTTTATAGTAATTTTAAGGTGTTGATGCAATGTTTTTCTACTTCTGACAGTATTTTAGACCTGTGGGGAGTGGATCTTAAAAATGCATTTGCTGCAACAACACAGAGGTGGGTGAAACTTGCATTGCTCCTATGTAGTGCAGTTGAAGTGCATTAGATACTACAGAACTTAGGGTAACTTTTTGAACTAGTTTCTCTTTGGGAACTTCCGCAGTCAAGATTCTCTAATCTTGCTTACTATGTCACGCTAGGAGTCTGGCATTGTATAAGTTCATGTGTGAGTTTACTTAAAAATCTAAATAGAAATAAAAATGGCTAGCCAGACTTTAAAGACCCACTTGAAGTATATTCTGTGATAGGATCTGTCGGCGCAGACAATTCACCCCTTGCAGAGCTCAGCTGGTTCTACACCTGCACTGCAGTCAATGCCAGCAGGTCTGTTTGATAAAGCATTAATAACTAACATTAAACAAGGGCTTTTCATGACAGTTGCATTTTCTTAAGTGATTTATGAGATTTTGTGAGGAGTTAAGGCATTACTCTAATTCAAAAATTTTTGCCTTTCTTTCTCAGTGTGCAAAGCAGCCAAAGCTGACCTTGCGTTCCTGGTGGATGGGTCATGGAGTATTGGAGATGACAATTTCAATAAAATTATAAGCTTTCTCTATAGCACTGTTGGAGCTTTGGATAAGATTGGTCCTGATGGAACACAGGTAATCAAATGTAGAGAGATGAAGGGTGCGTGGACTTGGCAGGTTATTTTAGACTAGCACCAGAAGTGAGATGAATCAGAAAGTAGGTGACATAACTTCACAGATCTTGTGAAAATATAAACTGCTTAAGGATAGTATCTTTTTTCAATATGTTTTTATGCACAACATATGATAAATTTTATGATATGGATTTTGGTAGCATGAAGGCTAGGTATAATTTCAGTCTCCTCAATCGTTACAATGACAATTATGTTGTGTTAATGCTTTTGGTATTGGTACTCACTATGGTGTTGATTTCTAAGTAAGCTAAAAATGGCATTGATAAGGAAAAGTAAATATTCTTTTATTTAAAATCACATGCTCTACAGAATCTACAGTGCTTGAAATAAAATATAGTGTTTACAATGATTGTTCTATTTATGTATTTGTTTAGAGAGATGTTTGAATCTGCTCCAGAACAAATTATTGGCAAATATATTACTGTTGTATTACCTGTATAATATGTCATTTGGGATCGCATTGGAAAATTAATTTCAACTTTTCCAAACCCTGAAGAATACTTAGTTTTTACTGTTCCTATACATCTATTTTCCAAGAATATAGCTCATGGTGCTTCAGAAACCTAGGCACAAGCTTAAGCATAATAGCTCCTTTTAAATCAGAGGCACCATTTATAGAATATGAAATTCAATGTGTGCTTTGTGAGTTGTAGGGGTTTAGTGTATAGTATTGAAATACAGGGTCTGAACTCATGTAGCATTGTATTTGAGAGAGGCAGTATTTCAGAATATGTTCTTGAATCTTTCTATTACTTGCTTCAGTCTTGCTCCCTAGCTGGAGTTACTTAAGTGCAGCTATTAATTTGTGGAGACTGAATAAAGTCCCTGTAGTTCTGTATTTGAATAACTGTACATGTGTGAGCAGCTGTAACCAGGATTTTGCTTTGGGGCTTGATTGAGAGTCCTTTGCCAAAGCGGGTATTACTTTTCTCATCCTATTTGCTGCAAAATGAAACCAGAAAGTGTTAGATGGTTGCCAAGGTTTCAGAGAGTAAAATTGAACTTTATTTAGTGAAATCTTTCTTAAAGAGAAAAAAAAATCTGGCTTCAATTGAAGGATGAAGCAAAGTTACAAGATAAATCCTTGTTTTGAATGCTCAGATTCACTTTTTGCTTATGCACTGGGTGGTGCTTTTGTAATGAACATCTTCTGTATGCACAGGTGGCAATAATTCAGTTTAGCGATGATCCCAGGACAGAATTTAAGTTGAATGCATACAAAACAAAAGAGACTCTTCTTGAAGCTATTCAGCGAATAGCCTACAAAGGAGGAAATACAAAAACAGGTGAGAAAGGTCATGACTGTGAGGCAGATTTTCTGCCTGCTACTCTCTGTGTGGTATTTCTTTCCCATTAGTTAAGTGGTTTAATTAATCAGTGCAAAAACAGTGAGAACATGGTATGTCCTCACTGGAGATGAAAGGTTGGGCACGGAAATTAGGAAGTCTTTGCAATCTGTAGTTTATGCCCTTCAGCCCCTACTGGTGCACTTTTACCCCACTGACCAACAGTGATGGCAAGGATCAGGGAGGCAGAGAGAGACAGCTGGGCAAAAGCAAATTACTCTGGGGACAGTGGAAGGTGGAACGGGGAGTAATGTGACGTCAGCTTGGCAAGTGGATAGAAAAGTGGGAGGGGAGAGAGAGTGGGAGGGAGTTTGCAGAGCATGTCAAAAACTGGAGAGAGTGGAGGGTCTGTTTGGTTATAAGCCAGGTCAGTTAAGTCTCAGTGGGATGTTTAAGACTGGGTTGGGGGAAGATGTCTGTTAACTGAATGAGGTTGCATTTTAATTAATCCCTTAGGATAGCTTTCTGATGTGAAGAAATTAAAGATGAGTGCCGAAAGGGTTAAAATCTGTTTTAGTTGGAAACCATGTGTTTTATTATTCTCAGAATGCACAGAAATTTCTTGCAGCTGTTGCATTGCATCCAGTCTCAGTATTATCAAAATAACACGTTTTCCATTTACTACAATGGCACTGTCAGTTGTTATGTGGACTGTGCCCTACAATCCAGAAAGGAAGGTTTTGTTATCTCTAACCCAGCCAGCAGCTGAATACCACACAGTGCTCACTCACTGCCTGCCCACCCCAGCCCCCATGGGATGGGGAGAAGAATCAGAAAAGGCTAAAACCTGTGGGCTGAGATAAGAACATTTTCATAATTGAAATAAAGTAAAATATAATGATAATAGTAATGAAAAGGGAGATAACAAAAAGAGAGAGAGGAATGAAACCCAGGGAAACCAAGTGATGCACAGAACAGTTGCTCACCAATCACTGACCGATGGCCAGCCCATCTGAGCAGTGATTGTCCCCTCCTGGCCAACTCCCCCAGTTTATATACTGGGCATGATGTTTTATGGTGTGGAATATCCCTTTGGCCAGTTCAGGTCAGCCGTCCTGGTCATGCTCTCCCCCAGTCTTGTGGTGCAGCTCCTCACTGATAGAGGCCTCACTGAAAAGCCCTTGACTCAGGGTAAGCACTGCTCAGTCACAACCAGTACATCCGAGTGTTATCAACATTATCCTCACACTGAATCCAAAACACAGCACTGTACCAGTGACAAAGAAGAAACTTAACTTTATCCCAGCTAAAACCAGGACACCCACACATTTCATATTCTTGATCTTCACCTTCTGGATTGAAAAATGGATGGCTGAAGCCATCAAGTTTTCAAAGGTTAGGGTCAAAATTAAAGTTTTGTAAATCTTGGCTTTAATAACTACAGAATGCACTAATTGACAGACTATGCGGGACCCAGCAGATTTCTCTTTTTATTTATGTCTAACATAAATAAATCTGAGAAGATATGAGAAGATAGTTATAAGTAGCCAATAGAAATTGCATTTACATTCAGTGAAAGTATACTGTCAATTTTTGTGTTTCAGGCAAAGCCATTAAACATGCAAGAGAAATCCTGTTTACTGGAGAGGCAGGCATGAGAAGGGGCATTCCAAAGGTTTTGGTTGTCATTACTGATGGGCGATCACAGGATGATGTGAACAAAGTCTCCAGAGAAATGCAACTAGATGGTAAAATGTGTAGTTTTAAGAACTACTCACATTTCCTTTTTTTCTCATTAATTGTATCTCTGTAAGTGTGGGCATGAGGTAAGCGTAACTTTTCCTCCAGGAAGATTTTCAAGTTTAAAGAAAACAGCAATTCCTGAGAAAGACAGAATAACACTAGGATATGGTTAGATTCTGGATATATTTGGTGATTAATGGCATTAGTTTTAATTTTGGCAACAGTGCTAAAATCACGTGGTAGTCAATGGAATTGCTCCCAGGATGAAGAATTTGGGGAATATGATCCTGAGAATCTGGATTGTCATCTATAAAGTGTAGTCTTGTGGTTACAAGCAAACTGAATTATTTTGTTTTCTATATAAGAGGTCCTTTGAAAATTCTTTCATGTATTCTTTTACTGTCTCTGATTGCTCTCATGTTACACTAATTACCTTTAGGAATTTTTTTAAAGCACTGATTTTAGAGCTTTAAGCAGCCACACTGTGTTGTGAGTATAAGTATTTAATTGTTATAGAGATTTGTGTCAAAACCCAAAGGGCAGAGTGTGCCACACGGAACAAAACTAAAGGTTGGAAGAAAAAAACCGATCTGGCTATTAATGTGAAGCAATCTAACAAGAAATTACATTTGTACTTTTTATTTGCTTTTAACTTTGAGAGCTGTGAAGTTCCCAGTGAATATCATGGCTTCCTGAAAGCCAATGTAATCGTCCAGCTTGTCTGCCTACTCGTTGTGTTGTTAGATGCTGAGTGTAGTGCCTTCATAAATAAAGCATATTACAAAATAGTAGAGTTCGAATAACTTGTTTTAAGTAGCAGTAAAGAAAACCCTGTATTTGTGAATAAATTGGAGTCTATATCTAAGCTGAACAAAAATCGTTCAGCTCTCAGGTAAGTCTTGCAGTTGCATATATTAATTATTAGACTGGCAACAGCCTTGAGAGGGGAGGGTGTATTGTGAGGGTTCAGGTGCTGACTAGGATGCGTCACCTTGGCAGATGAGTTCCCCTCTCCATTGTCCTCTTGAGTGTGCTGTGCAATGAGGCTGCAGATAGGTTGGAGCAGGTACTGACTTGTGTGTTTGACAGCAACTGGCATGAAGAGGTGCTGATCTTGGATGAGACATGAAGATATTGTTGTAATTTATTAGGTCAAAGTTTTGTTATGCTAAAAGCTCTGCAGAAGGTGATGAATGCCCTGGGCTTCAGTCAAACTTAAAGATAATATTGCTTGACTGGAGTAAGTTTGGGACTGAGCCATACAAGACCAGTATGTCATTAAATAGATTCAGCCTGATGTAGAGAGGTTTTTTTTCCTTTATCTTTTATGGAAAGGAAAATATTGAAAAACTTTTAGCTATTTTGCTGCTCCTGAAACATATAGGATACAATTTCCATTTCATTTAAATCTTTGAAGTCAGGCTCAAATTTCGAAATATATTCATGCTGAATATATAGAACAGATTCAACCAATGCAGTTAAGTTGTTGATGAAATGAGAATGCATTTATTTCGGTGTTCACTTATGATGCAGCAGTGGCTTGAAATATTATATATATTAATATATGAGACAGAAAAAAATCTGTAAAGGACCTACAGGAAATTAATTTCTCTGCTTTGTATTTATTATATACTTGATACATGGATATTTTTGTGTAGGAAAGCATTTAAACATATGCTAAAACTTTAAACTGCTGAGTAGTCATATATCTTCAAGAAAATGCTCAAGGTTTAACTTTACTTAACTAATTAAGCATAAATAACCAAAAGAAATATTTCACAGAGAATGTATTAGCTTTATTTTAGATTACATAAGTGAATTTTCTTGTGCTATAGGATAATAATAAAATGTCCACCTTTGTATTTAGTCCAGAAAGGAGCCAGTGCAAATACAGTTGTATTCATATTGTATTTCCACTCTCTTAATGAATGTCTCACAAGACTGTTCTTTTCTGTTTTACAGGTTTCAGCTTTTTTGCTATTGGAGTAGCTGATGCCGACTATTCAGAGTTAGTGAATATTGGCAGCAAGCCCAGTGAAAGACACGTCTTCTTTGTGGATGACTTTGATGCCTTTACAAAGATTGAAGATGAGCTGATCACTTTTGTTTGTGAAACTGCATCAGCAAGTTAGCCACTTTGATTTATGTTTGCTTCTAAAATAACTGCTAAATACTGGGGGGTTTATAACTGATAATTTTCTATTATGAGGTATTCTTGATATTTTTAATATAATTTACTGCTGATGTTATAATTCTAATGTTATTTCCGTAAAAGATTAAGGAAATGAAGGTTTTGTGACTTCAAAATAATTAAGGGTTGTTTGCTGTAAATCCAGAATGCAGCCATTGGTTGTCAAAAATTTATTTCAGATGTGAAACATAGTTCAGAATCATAAAAGGTTAATATATTTTATTTTCTAGGCTACTTTAACCCTCTGTAAGAGTTAGCTACATTCATTATTACTCCAGTCACATGGTTAATTTATCAATGGAGAACCAATCAGTCATGTTGGTATTATGAGAGAAGGTAGCTGAGTTGTAGCCTAAGGAAAAGCATGAAACACACCTAAACTCTGAAATCTGCAAAAAAACCCATTTCAATCTCTTTATGAAAATTAAGAGAAATATATTCTAGAGCAGCACCTACTGGTTAGAGGTCAATAATTCATATGCTTTTAGGTGTGTGTTCACAATTTATTTCCTTGTATATAAGCCAGGAAGTACAGGAATTTGTGATTGTGAGGAGTTCTGCACGGGGTTGTGAGTTATCATGAGACTCTTGAGCTATCAGAGTGGTAAGCACAAAAAATGTTGCTTCTGAACCATCAATTCTGAGATTTTGACCATAGAGAGAATGTTGAACATGAGAATACTCAACAGTAGCATTTATTGGTCACTTGTGCTTGTATTCTAGAAGTGATTTTCAAATATGAGTATCCTGGGGTGCTATCTTTGGTTGACATACTGCTTCTAGGCCTATTGATTTTCCAGGGGACCTTTTCTGAAAGAGATTAGCGTGTGCTCTTCCCTGCCAGAAGAAAAGTATAAACCAGACTTACAGCTATTTAAAATGTGTGCACACATCTTAAGAACTGTGTGCAATTCTGGACTCTCTTGCTTATGAAAGCTACTGTGGAGTTTGAAAAGGTACAGAGAATTGAACTTGAGATGGGGTTAGGCTGGAGAAGCTCACAAAAGGAGAATTAGGAAACACTTGGTTAAAACCCAATATAAGACACTTTTTTTTTATGCAGCAGGCAGTGAATTTTTTTCAACAAATTTGAATTTGTTGAAGAGGTTGTGAAGGCAATTTCTTAGAAGGATTAGACAAATTCATGGATGAGAAATCCTTAATAGGATATTATATGGAGTACATAGTAATGTACCCCTTAATATCTTTGCTGCAACCCTTGTGGATCCCGAGGAGTATCAACTGAACGGAGTGGTCAGGTGGCCAGGTTTGCATGCCCTTCTGAAACAGCATCTCCTTTTGCTGCTGTTGGGGATGGAGTACTTGGTATAGGGCTGAGTGAATCATTGTTCTGACCCAGTGGGACATCTCTTGTATCCTTAAATATATTTTTCTTCTTTTCCAGCCTGCCCATTGGTAGTTAAAGATGGCAATAATTTTGCAGGTACAGTATTTTTGTGTTAATTTTTGTTTCTGATTTATGGAATCATTTTTATTATGTGATTTTTACAATATTAGGCAATAAATTTCCCTTCATGCTAACAGGTATTAAACAGTTGGTGAATGAAACTCTTTGATACAACTAACTTTGTCTTTTTTTGTTTACTGTAACGCAGTATTAATTTAAATTAATAAAATATATGTTTTGATACCTTCCAGGATTTAAAATGATGGAAATGTTTGGTTTGGTTGAAAAGGAGTTTTCCGCTGTGGAAGGGGTTTCAATGGAACCTGGTACATTTAATGTTTACCCATGTTACAGACTGCACAAGGATGCCCTGGTGTCACAGCCTACCAAGTATGTATTAACATGTAAATACTCACAAAAAACATGAAAATAATTTTCCAGTGCAGTCAATTATTCCTTTCAGGGACTAGTATTTTAAGTCAGAAGAGCAGAGGCACTAGTGTATATCTGTGTTATACTGATGAATAGGAAGAGTGTCTGGTGTCCTGAGTCACCAGTCAGTTTAATTCAAAAACAACTGTAGGTAAAAGTAGGTAAGCCCACTGGCTACTCTGGGTTTTCCACATAAGCCAGTTTCAGGCTTGTGGCCAGCACCCACCAATCTCATGCAGGCATAGGTCTGGGAAGATTTCAATGTGTATTACTTTGTGAAAGATGCCTCTGGAATGCAAGCTGAAGTCTCATGGAGTTCAGAATGTCTTTGAAGTGGGGGTCAGAATGAGAACCTTCTTTGGCTGTCCTTGGTCACTTTTACTTCAGTCTGTGTCCATTCACTGGTTACAAAGGAAGATTATCCCTTTATGCTGAAGTGAGTCTGTGTGAATTCCATCTAGTACTTTCCTGGGAGGAGGCACATATTTCAGTCACAAGGACTATATCATGGGAGAGTTAAGGCAATGAGGAATCCTCCCATTGAACTTTTACAGTCTTTCCTCAGAGAGGAAGTGATGGAAACTCTTTATTTCTTCGATGAACAATGTGTATGTTTGATATGGTTTGAAGCTGGCTCCCTGCCAAGTCTCCAAACCTCACCACAAGAAGTCCCCCCTAGACCTCAGGGAGAAGAGGAAAAAAAAAACCAAGAGAACTGAAACGAGATAGAGACAGCTAAAGCAATATATATAAATATATTTACACTTATATTACAGTTATATACAATTGAAATATATATACAATTTCAAAAGGAAAAGGGAAAGGGAAGGGGGAAGGGAAAAAGGAACACAAACAAAATAAAATACACACAATCAATAGCCCAAGATCTAGCAACTAAAAGAATTAGCAAAAGAATATCTTACTACTCTCCTTGGGACAACAGAAAGTCGCGCTGGAACGATCGCCGGCAACCTCTGTCTCCCAAGGTCGACAAGGCCTAACCAGGCCTCACTCCCCAACACACAGACTCAACAGCAGGGAACCTGCACCTCCAAAGCCGCTGGAAGGAAAGAGAACGAAGGCCTTTCCTCCTTTCTTCTTATAGTCTGGCTTACGTAAAAATCGTAGGGAATACCGGGTAAATCTGGACCCTTCCTTGGTTACAAACTGGTCACCAAGGAAGGCCCAGACTAAACTACCACAATGTTGTGTTTCGTTCCTCTCAGTCAAGTCCCTCACTTCTTATTAAGTGGCACCAGAGAAAAGCAGTGGCTCTGTGGATTACACATGGGAAGATGTAACAACAAGTATTCTTTAGCTGAGATAAATAAGAAAGAAAAACAGTGGGAAATGACATTGAAGGTTTATATTAGTAGATATCATATCAGTCTTTTTGTGTCCCAGTTGGAGCTATACTTTCTGGGGCTGTTTCATGTTCTTCATGTTTTGTTTCCCTCTGGGCCTAGATGGACTGAGATGTCAAGGGATTAGCATTTCTCACTTCTTTTTCCCTTTCTGCTTCTTTCTAATTGGATCTGCTGCATTTATATGCTATTCTCTAGCTACCACCCCAGCCCAGTCTTACTGCTTCATAGGCTTTCACTCCTTTTCATGGTTCAGAGAACACCTTTCTCTTGATGATCTGCAGGTATGTCTGAATAATACCACTTGGCTTTGTCGTCTCATTTATGCATTGAATGTCGTTAATGTTATTCTCCTTTTTGAGCTGTGAATCCCCAAACCTTGTGTTTGACCCACCCTGCTTATTGAATTGTCTTTTATTCATGTACAGTGGACACACTGTAAGGCTTTTTTCTTTTACCTGTTGATATCCCTCTCTTTCTCTATGCGAAGTGGGCAGTGATCACTTTTGATCATCTACTGACACTGTGCAGAATATATTGATTATATATCACATCTGTCTCCCTTTTCAGCATGATTCATATCTATACATCTTATATGTGCCAGAAGCACTTTAGAAGGAATGGGATGTATTTAGGGAAAAGAAATTGTTTAAACAACTTCTTCAGGCTTCTTTCAGATCCCTTTGCTATGATTTTAAGAAATCAGACTAATTAACATTTTAAAATACAGTCAGTTGTCTCAGACACTTGTCCAAACATCCCACTATGGGATTTGACAAGAAAAGGTTAAATTAATTTGGAAGTACTAAATAACAAATTTTTGGAAATGACATAAAATAACATACTTCTTTTATATCATAAATTTCTTCTCTCTTCTGAAAAAATTCTAGGAAACCAGATTGTATTTCTGTATGTGATCTGTTTTGACTTCACTTTCTTATGTATTGGCTTTGAAATTTATAAATTCTGTTCCCCATATTTTATAAACCTTCCTATAACAGTCTGTCACTCCTAATTTTAATCCATTTGAAACAGTTTAATGACAAAAGACATGTCTATTGAGATTGGTCTTTCAAGCAATTTCTGTTTTCATTGTCTGTTGAATCAGACAGGTGCAAAGGTCTTACTCTTTTTTAAAAGCTTTTAATATTATTAATTTTAGCTTTATTTCCAACTGAGCTCTGATTTCATCTTCAAATTAAAAAAAATGTTAATAATTAAGGACAGTTTTGTAAATTTTAAGGGAAACTATAACTTCTCCTTTCTTCATAAGTATTCTTTTAGTAGTTGTCAAGTTGAGTAGATTTTGTAAACACTTATTCATATCACTTCTCAGTCTTGATTTCTAAAGAAATATAGAGAGTAATAAAAAGCATGTCAAGTGAACATCTGATAAGTAAATCATCAGATTTAATGTTGTTTCAGTTTAAAAGATACTATTTCTCTTACAGGTATTTGCATCCTGAAGGTCTCCCTTCTGATTACACCATCACGTTTCTCTTTCGTATACTCCCTGACACACCTCAGGAGCCCTTTGCTCTTTGGGAGATTTTAAATGAAGGATATGAACCACTGGTTGGAGTTATTTTAGATAGTACGTATTTTGTGTTTTATTAGTGACTTTAACTGCACAAATTATTCATTCTGTGACTAGATTTATTATTGCCAATGTTTCAATCTGCTGCAAGAAAAACTACCTGAATCCGGAAGGTGGTGGTCTCTAATGCCTGGTTTTTAGATTCAATTTAACTGAGTTGAATTTGGAGTTAGAGTCAAATTTTGAGTTAATTGCTTTAAACTGTGGCGAACGATACTGAAATCCAAAGAGCTGTACTAGATGTAATTTGATGTGAGGTACTAATTTGCTTTTAAAAATTCCAGTGCTCTGAATCTGATTCTAATTGAATCTATCTTGATATATGCCAGTGGTACACGAAGTACACACAGAGGGAGTGCAGTCTGGTGGATAGCAGACTTAGAGTCATGAACCCTTGCTGGCTCTTCATTTCTATTTGATTTGACTTTGACAACTGTAAACAGGGTTTATAATTCAGAGGGTTTTCATATTTACTATTGAAAAGATGAAGATACTCTGATAGCTGTTCTTCATAGCTGCCAGTATGTCACCTTGAAATAGGTGGGAATTAAGCATTTAGCTGGCTTGAGGATGTGTTTTTCTTGTGCAAGTCCTGCAGAGAATTAGTAGGACCAGGTAGACATGGGTGAGGTAGATAAACAACTACTGTCCTGTCCTTCTTATCAAATCAGGAGACAGCATTGCTCTGATACAACTTGTTACTTCCAGGTCAGTATATCACTTATGAATGTGTTCTACTGTCATTTGAGCTGTCATCTTTGGTCTGCTTTGTTAAACGCAAAATTGACTCTTTCAAATCTTGTATAGGCCTTTAACCCAGAGCCCTTAATTTCTGTCTCACACAGATGGTGGTAAAACTCTGACTTTCTTTAACTATGACTACAAAGGAGATTTTCAAACTGTGACTTTTGAAGGTCCTGAAATAAGGAAGATGTTTTATGGGAGTTTTCATAAGGTTAGTAATTGTAATAGGGAAAAAAACCCACTCTGAATAAAGTTTTGGGAGTTTTTCATGTTTTGAAATCATCTTTCATGAGATCAACTGGTGCCAAAAGAAGTGTATTTTGCATCCTGTACCTTACTATCGTAAATCTCTTTGCAATATTGGATTAACATAAAGCAAATCATAGTTTTTATCATGAAGTTGATGAGTTCAATTTTCATCTCATGCCTTGTGCCTGAACTTTAGAGTTCATTTAAAAACACCTGCCTTGAAAAATAATTTAGAAATAAATTGGCATTTCCTTTTAAGATTTGGTTTCTCAGTATCATTCAAAATAAAAAAGTCCAGCAAAAAAAAATATCCTTTTTTCATTAGTTATAATTTTTAAAAATATTTTAAGGGCTATGCCATACTTAACTTTTCTTGGCTGTTAGAGGACTTGTAATGTTCTTTCTGAAAGCGGGTGAAGTAGTGTTGGGATTGTAGCATGTATTTGTTGTGAAGGGTGCTTTTGTTGTTCACTTTTATTCCCGATGTTTGTATCTTTCCGAAACAAAAACAAAACAAAATAACCAACCAACCAAAAAAACCCAACAAAAAATGAAAAAAAAAGGGACTGTGAATTAAGATGATAGTATTTACAGAGCTTAGCTTTTCTGTACTTCCTTTTCAGTCAATAGAGCAAGAAAGGGAAGGTAGGTCAGAGCTGGTGTAAAATTCTGACTTTTAATTTGTGGTTTGGAGGAATATATGAGGCTCTAGGAAATTCTCCTCTTAAGCATTTTTCTGATGTTTGAATGATGATTTTTGCAAACACGTTTGAAAGGTGCAAGCAAGGCAGATTTATAGTAACTTTTCAGTTATTTAGTTACAGCTGAGCCTGGAGCAAAGCAGGACTCCTTCGTGGCTTTTGATCCTTGGGCTCCGATCTACTCATAGTGTACTGTTACAGGGAAGATGCTACATTTCTACCAGCAGTTCATCTGGTCTCCTCCTACCCTAACCCCATCCCCAAATTGTTCTTTCCTTTGCTTAACTGAGAGATTGCTCATGACAGGACTCTCTGCTGGGAGTGGCTTTGCTCAGCAGAAGGGACCACTGAGTGTGATCAAGGCAGAAGGAAGGTACTTGGTCACTGTGTTCTTCTTTCTGTACTGCATTTGGTGTGATTTGATTTTTTCAGTGAAAAAATTTCACTAAGACAGCTTTTGCTGCGTGGTAAAATTTACAAACTAAATTTTACTGTTCATTTTTGGCTTATGCAAGTGGCTGGCTATAAAGGATGTATTGGCGAAATCCAGTGCTTGATAGCAGGATCATACAAAGTCCAGGAATTATTATTGACCACATAAATCAAGAGTTCTGTGGGATCTGAGTTGTATATGAACATTGTGTAGATCTTTTGTTGGGGATAAATTATTTTCTTACTGAATAAATTCCATAAATTGACAATTTTTATGCAGATATTCCATAAGTAGAAAAATTAACTAAATTCCTTAAACAGATTAAAATCAAAGACTAATTCAGGTTGGAAGGGGCCTCTAGAGGTCATCTAGGTTATTTGCTATGGATGATTGTATGAGTTTCATTAGCAAACATGGAGTTAGGATCTCATTTCAAAAAGTGCCCCCTTTTCCCAGGAAAGAACACATATATCCCACGTGCTCCTTTGTATGTTAAAGCATCTTTTCTTTTGCTTAGCTGCATGTTGTTATCAGCAAGACTACAGCCAAGATAATTATTGACTGCAAACAAGTGAGTGAGAAGACCATTAATGCAGCAGGGAATATTAGTTCTGATGGCATAGAAGTGCTGGGGAGAATGGTGAGATCCAGAGGACCGAGAGACAACTCTGCACCAGTGAGTAGAACAATAACAATTCTTTAAAACATTTAAAATATCCTAAAGAAAACTGTTTGGGATCTTTGCAGTTAGTTTTAATTTGAAGACAAGTGAACTCAAATTTTAAATAGTAAAGTTTCAGCATTTCAGAAATTCTGCAGAAGTCTGCAATAGTTGTCACTTAGGGCAAAATCCATTTTTGATTATTTTAATAAATGAAATCACGGGATCATCATTGTTCAAACGTTGTTCTCAAACACATATGTAAACACAGTTGATATGTTTAGATATGACTTGTGTTTCAGATTTCATTACGTAGAGTAATACAGTATATAACTCCTTTGCCTGGAATAATTTAAACTTTGTTTTGAGTGATAACTATTCCCCATGTCTCTTATCCCCTCTTACTCTCTGTTTGTCCCCTAGCTCAGTGTCTGTTCACTTAAATAATTGAACTGGTTTGGCACACAGTCCCCAAAAGCAAAAGCTCTCATCTTAGCATATCTAGCTCTTATATAAAATAAAAAAATTTAAATGTGAAAATCTCCCCCAAAAATTTAAGTACTCTCTCATTCCTCTGAAATTGTTCTTCTAGAAGCAGTAATTGATTATTCTGTTTGCATGACAACCAATGAGAGTCTTTCCATTTTGTTTCAGATGTCTTAAAGAAGATTTGTTTGGGGTTTTTGACTTTTTCCTTGTGTGATACTGTTCGCTGATTTTCTTTGAACTTTCTTGACCCTAGAATGAGGTTAGCAGAGAATATGAACCTCGAACTCAAGGCTTGATTTGAATAGGAATGAGGTTTCAAAAATGTATTTACTTGTTAATATATGAAAATACTCTTGTTTAGTAAAAAATAAGCCTTCAGAATATATTTCTGTACAAAAAAAAAGTGCTTTTAACCTTCAAACTTACGGATAATAGTTATGTGAAGCCTGTAAAGACAATTACATAGAGAAACCCTTGTAGTTACATTCCAACAGAAACAGAAAAGGGCAGACTTAGGAAATCTTGGAATTAGAGAAGGCTTTGTAAAGAAGTGGAAAGAAATGGTGTCTTTTGTTAGAACCTAAGAATCTATAAAAGAAAAGTCAGACTGCCCACTCACTGAAAAATTTGATTTTGTTCAAATGAACTGTAAAACTCATGTAAGACTAAAAATATGTAGCTGAGGATGAAAATTCTTTATAGTAGTGTTCAGATCTCTTTGGGTATTACCACATATACCAAATTACAAGCAAATCAAGAAAGCACCCAAATACCATTCTTTAAAGTCTCCATTCTGCACAGTTTATTCATGTTGAGTAGGACTTGTGTGAATGGTCACTTTTAAGGCACAAATGAGTTGGTTTCCTAGTCCAAATATTGAAGGACATCAAAGGACTCTAGTAGGAGGCAGGATGGAGATTCTTCTCACAACAAGTAAACTTCTTAGTTTTAGAGATACTTATTACATAAAATAAAAACAAGCAGACAGTTATTTTGGAATAAAATTGTGGATGTTTTGTTCTAACTGTATTCACATTTAGCATTGTTGGAATGTTTTTTAGAGTATTTTTTAATTAAATTAATATAGTGCAATCACCTGAATTTTGCCAAACATTTCAGTTTTGAGGGAATGTAATTGTACTGGAGTTTTTTTCCCAATTATGCATATGGTGTGCAACAGTAAAAGGAACATGAAGAAATAGAGATAGATAAGACAGAAAGGGCATTAGACTAAAAGTGCCTAACCGTTTTAACATTCCTGAATAGTGAAGCTTCTCTGGATTAGACATTCCAGCTAGCCAGAGCAATGAAACCTGACTGTGACATGCAGCAAGTAATGTTTTTTATTCCTTCAGTGAGATTTAATGAAAAGTTAAAAAAGTAATGCCTAGTGCGGTCTGCTGTTGAAAAATCTTTGCAGAGCTGTAGCTTTGTTAGATGATGATAGGTAGACTTTTCCATCTCATTTTACTGATTCTGCTTGGAGGGCTGGATATTTAGAAAGCAAAATCACTATGAATACAGAGAATTATAAATAAATGTTTAACACTAGCAAAGAAAGCTTTGTTTTGTTATTTAGCTTGAGTCAGAGCAACCCACATAATATTTTAAAATAAGAATACTGTGTCATTCAACATTTGGTTAGTGAATACGGCAATTCAGAAAATGCCTGTTTGCTCTTTAATTTACAACAACATATTTTATCTCTATGGATCTCTAGATTGTCTAGTCCAGAGAAAATGAATGCATATACATGCCTATGTAGGACGTATAAATTCAGCTAGTACTGTCAGCCTTCCATTGTTCAGGATAACAGAATAGCTTGAGATGGACTGGGTTGTGGGAAAAAATGGCAATATGACTTCACTTCTGAACCCAAGCTGCTTTCTGCACAACCAGCTCACGTGTTGCTGCACCCCTTTCTGAGATGTCTTATTTGCTTAAGTGCAGTATCATGCAAATGCCCAGGGTCATTCTGAGTCCCCGAACAGTGTCTTCATGCATGTTCACAAGCTAAGGAATCCTGGAATGGGTAGCTGAGAGATGTATAGCAAAGAGGGAGGCATCTTAAGTGGCTCCACATGAGGCCAACTTGCATTTGACATAGGCAGGGACACAGACTTGCTGGACTCAGAGTGGATCTCTGTGGACCCAAACCAAGGGTCCAAAAGCTGCCTTCATGCTGCACTTCAGCTGTCTGAGGTGTTTAGCATGGACCCAGCTCGTGTGAGTATGCATCTACAAACCAGCTAATCCGCTGTAAGGTGAAGAAAATGTCTATTTATGTGAAAGTATGCCTTTATTCAAAATACAGTAATTGACCTATATAAGAAAAAGAATGAGACAAAACCAAAGGTGCACATATGTAGTTCATTTAAACAGATTTGAAAGTAATACAGTTTTAAGAAATCTTTAAATTCATTCCTCTCTTCTGGTCTTAAAATAATGCCACTGAAAATAATAATGGGAACAAAACCAAAGAGAGTTCTATCTCTAGCAGCTCCTCGAATTTTTTAACATGTGGGGTTAATTTAATGGGATGTTCTGTTCCATTCTCCTCTGTATTCAATATGCACATAAACAAGGCATGGAAAAAGAATAGAAATAGTAACAGAAGCTTCATCTCTCTAGACCACTTTATTGAGTCAAGGCTGTAAAAGAGACAATTGGTCTTACCATTGAGCCCTATTTAGTATATTGTTTCTGAGTATCTAATAGCCACTATTTTTAGCAAATGTGTGTGTTCTTGTAGATTAAATTCTTGTCCAAACCATGTTCCCAGACCTGTGATGGGAATTTTCTGCCCAATGTTGTCACTTTTCACCATTAAACTATTGTTGCCTGGGGATAATAAGGACAGGAGAGGGCATATTCTAAAGTAAAATTAAACTGGAGAAAACTATAAATATTGTCTGTGGCTCAGCTCCAGTGTAAGTAATAGGCTATAGGAGACCTTGTCGCAGATAAAATCTGATCAGCTGACCGGTGGGTTAAGAGGAATTACTCAGTTTTGAGAAGCTGAGCTCTCTTTTGACTGACTCTTGATGCCTCCTTTGCTATATAAAAAGTACTGGGAGGCAACATTGTGCAAAATCAGAAATTTAATCAAGGAGTGGGGGATAATCCAACAAGTGCAGCATTTAACCTTGAACAGCTTGCTCAATTCATGAAGTATCTGATAGCTCAGATGAATTGCTTAGAATACACATTTGGTAAAAGCAGTGGATTTGCCATTTAAGTGACGTATTTGTGGCTTGCTGCTCAAAGTCAATAGTCTCTCCTCTGTCTAATCTGAGTACTTTAAATAAAGATGGCTTTACTTGCTGATAGCTTCATTCTGCACTGCTCTTACACCTAACAGTCATTTTGTACATCACCCTTGTTTTGAAACAGCTGCAGTTACAGATGTTTGACATTGTTTGTGCTACCTCATGGGCCAATCGAGACAAATGCTGTGAGCTTCCTGGCTTGGTAAGAAATCTCTGCCAATAACTGTAGAATTTACCTTTTACTTTCCCCTTTATTGAGTAAATGTTTTAATTGAAATGGATGGTTAAGTGTTTTCAAAACAAGTCCAAGTCTGCTTGGATTACGTGTCCTATTGAAAGTCAAGGACATATATGTTTCTAAATCAAGTAGGTGCTTTTGAGGCATCCACACAGTACTTTGTCTTAGATTCATAAAATCCCTAACTTCTAAAGTTTTTGACATCATTCTTCTCCTATCTTAATTTTTCCTTAGAGAGATGAGGAAAACTGCCCTGCCCTTCCTCATGCTTGTTCCTGTTCAGAAGCCAATAAGGGTCCTCTTGGACCTCCTGGACCACCGGTAAGGTTTTATTCAGGTTTTTAGTGAACTGTACTAAATAGTCCCCTGGCCACCTTTATTCCAAAACATGTATTGCCCATGTAAAACTAATAAGGTTAAATTAGGGTTTTAAGTGTTTGTGAAGAGATAGAATTATATTCAATTTATAGCAAAGATGCCAAGTATTAGGCTGTAAAAAACCTTCTACATAGTCAGTCAGTCAAATTTTTAATGGTTTAATCAAGACCTGAAGCAGCTGTGGTATTCTTTGGATCTTGCACCCTCTTACCTGTCTGTAGCATTAGTAGATACGTCATAGTTAGTGCCATTTATTTTCTAAATTTTAATCACCTTCTGTCTGTCTACTATAATATATGTGTATTAAATGTAGTTTTGAGTTTACCTTTTGAAATGCTCAGTTTACAGTATCTTATGAATTAGAGATATGGGGTATGACAATGCCACTTGTATGGTATGTGATGAAAGAAGACTTTTCTGTGTTAAAAGCCCTAGATAAATACAGTATTGATTGGAAAGCACAACTGTAAGTGTAGGTTCTTCTGAGACCTCCTAGAGACGGAGAGGTACCCAAAAGCCCTGAAGGGAAGAGAGGATGAAATGATCTGCTTTGGTGAAAGCTGAATTAAAATTTTTTCCAGCTTGCCAGTGAATGATGAAATGCACACTGGCACAACTTTTACCTTTACTATCTGATGTTCTTTTAATAGTTTTTACTGTGTAAATGTTAAGTGTATATCTAAGTTCCTTGCATAACCAGTGGAACTAGATAGTCTCTTCTAGAAGCCAGTTATTTCACTTTCCTTCCATCTTAGTGTAGGATCTTTGAAATATGGAATAAATCTCCTTTCTTGGAAACTTGTGGAAACTCAATGTATAAGACATAGAGATACAGGTCACTAAATTTTGAGAACTCAGTCTCACATCCCAAGCTTGATTTTTATCAATTTAGAAAAGTTGCAGCCTCTGTTTACAGTGGCCTGTTACTGGTTTAATTTAACAAGAATCCTAACTGGGATAGAATGATCACGTGGTTTCTTTTTTTACAACTAGGTTGTTAACTTTGATTGGCATCTTAGGGCTGCCTGCTAAGTTAGTTTGAGATGAGGCTCTCCTATGAAAGGTTTGAGCTGCGTGTTTCTCTGCTCATACTGAGTCCTGTGTCTTCCAAGATCATGTTTTGAAACAAAAGAGCCAGTGAAGAATGCAAAGGAAAATGCTTCTGAAAATGTTAAAGTACACTGATTATATGAGATACATGTTTAACAACAAAATTAACTTGCACATAAGACATTCATGTTGTTGATCCTAGCAGGCATTAATCCTACTAACAACTCAGAGGTTAGTCTTTCTGCAAGAACGGTTCTTCACCCTCTGGTACAAAAACCTGGAAAGGAATTCAGGAGAAAATTCACTGAAGAGATGTGTCTTGAACAAGGAGAAATTGTTCTGTTCCCCTGTTTAAATATAGGTTATAAATCAAGTAGGGATTAAAATTTTAATTTTTGTATCTTAGCATCCAATTTGTGTTCTTTGACAAAGACAGATAATTCTGAACTGAATTGGAGTAGTTTGACCACATTTCACAGTAAAATGAAAACTGTTTGAAAATTATTTGACTGGAAGGATGTGTATTACTATAGTTCAAAAGATATATGAATCAGGAATTGCTAAGGCTTAACCCAGCAGTAAAATAATGTACTTTTATATATTATATTTAGGATTAACAGTGTTTTGAATAGCATAGTGCCATGCAAGAGGAGGCTTAAAGTCAAGCAGAAAAATCACTGCCAAGGCAGGCAGTGTGTGATTTTGGAACTCAGTGGGTTTGAAGTGATGCTTTTTTGCCAGACAGTTAGATGGCATAGCTCTGGAAAAAAAAAAAAAAAGAAGTACAAGGCCTAAGAAAAAGCAGAGCAAAGGAATAAAGTCAACATTCATCTCTGTGCCAACCAAAAGTCAGAAAGTCACATGTGCTATGTCTGGTCAATAGTGCTCCAAGTTGTTAAAATGTCATGTGACTTTTCTCTAAGCCAAGGGTTTTTCTGTTTAAGAGATCAGGATTCTACCATGTAGCCAGTTTTAGACATTAGGCTAAAGAGACTCCAAAGAAAAGGCTTCCATTTGTTTGGGATAGTAACTCCGGAAAGATTTTCTAGGCTTTTAGTAAATGGGTCATTTTGGGTAAGACAAAGTATTGTCTAGAGTTAATATTATCTGGCAATTTTCATGATGGGATACTGTTTTTATGGCTTCATCTTTGCCAGAATTTGATCCTGCTGTCTGAAATTCCTGACACAAAGTAAAAATAAGATATCACACAAAATCAATGCCTGCATTTATAAGGAGTGCTGCAGAACTGAAGAAGGTGAAATAAACAAAAATATTGGAGGATTGCAGAAGTTTAATTGCAAGAAACAGCATTCAGTGCTTCACAGGTTTTAACTATTAAAGAGGAATAAGGAGGTGTCTTGATAACAGTTGATTAAGGCTGTTTCTGGGGGAAAGCACTGGCCATTAAAAAGTTATTCAAAATAAGGGAAAAGGCATAACAGGAATTTTTGGCTAGAAGAAGAAATGGCAGAAGAAATGAAAAATTTGAAATTAGTCACACAAGCTTAGTAGTGCTGGGAAATAACCACCAATACAAGTTTATGAGAAAACTGAGGTGGGCTATTCTGATATTTTCATCTTAAATAAATGCTTTTCTGGAACTTGTACTTTTACCAAGCAAAGGCTGCTGGGTTCAGCACATGGCTAAATGTATCAACTTCAGCATGGATCTCAAAGTGTATAATTTAATGTCTCAGCATCAGGCTGGTTTTAAGTATATATTCTTAGTAAAAATGCAGTCTCTTTCTGAGAACAAAATGTGAGAAAACTCTGTGGTTTTGTTTATGTTAAAAAGTTGCAGTTATTGTTCTGAGGAATTTTTAATCTCAGAGAGAGTAGTCTCAAGAGAAAGGCAGAGGGAGGAGAAAGGACAGAGGGAGCTACTGGGCTGGAATGTAGAAATACAAGTATCTGGAATTTTGGAACTGGCATTTGAGATGTGGTTCCGTGGAAGAATGGGATAAGATTTTAAGGGTTGGAGCTGGCTATGGTGGAATGGGTTGTGGCCATAGACCTGTGGGATGAAGGCAATAAGACTGAGGAAGCTGAGAGGGGCAGTGGAAAACTGCTCTGTGATGACACATATGAAGACCATGTCATGATACCTTTATTGAAGAGCAAGAGTGCTCTAACATTTCCAAACATTTCTGTTGTTTGCATTCCTGTTTAAAGTCTCATAGATACTACATTTTTTTGTGTCTTTAATTTAACTGCTGTTATTTTTGTAAGTACTTATTGTAGCCTCTACAGAATGCTATTCAGTTATGGTGTGTAGTTGTACAAGATCCTTTTTGAGTAGTACAAAGAAGGGTAGAATACCTGTAAAGCTTATATTCCAATAGGTTAAGCAATATGCTCAGGTGGGAGAAGAGGGAAATTGATATGAAAAAAAGTGAAAAAAAAATTTATGCTGTCCTAGAACAGAAAGCACATGCAGCATATTTTTGCAAAACACGTTCATGGCAGCCATCCATAGATATATGCTACTCCAGTGTCTCAGATGATACTAATAAAAAAGGCAACAGTTGGTTAATAAATTGTGAACAGATGTAAGCATTACTGAAAAAAGCAAAAAAGAGAAAAATGACCAAAAGAGCATTTTACCTAAGAGTAGCTCTGAATTAAACCATGGTAGATCTAGTAGATTCTAGAGCTGTCCTTGCTGAAAAGTATTCTCAAGTCATTAGAATCAAAGAATTATAGAACTGTTTAGGTTGGAAAAGACCTTTAAGATTTCTGAGTCCAGCACTGCCAAGTCCACCAGTAAACCATTTCCCTAAGTGCCACATCTACATATCTTTTAAATACCCCCAGGGATGGTGACTCCAGCACTTCCCTGGACAATCTGTTCCAATTCTTCACAACCCTCTCCATGAAGAAATTTTTCCTAATATCTAATCTATGCCTCCCCTGGTGCAGCTTGAGGTCATTTCCTCTTGCTCTGTCACTTGTTACCTGGCTACAACCTCCTTTCAGGCAGAGAGTGATAAGGTTCCCCCTGAACTTCCTTTTCTCCAGGCTAAACAAACCCAGCTTTCTCAGCTGCTCCTCTTAAGACTTGTGCTCCAGACCCTTCACCATTGCCCTCTTCTGGACCTACTTCAGCCCCTCAATGTCCTTGTAGTGAGGGGCCCAGAACTGAATCCAGGATGTGAGGTGCAGCCTCACCTGTGCCAAATACAGGGGGATAATCGCTGCCCCGGTCCTGCTGGCCACACTGTTTCTGATATAAACCAGATTGCTCTTGACCTTCCTGGAAACTCAGCCTTTGACAATACAATTTTGCTGAGAACAGACATATGTGCAGGAGGTTTCAGCAACTGGAAGGGAACCCATGACCACATTTCCATCCGTATTGTAGCTTTGACTGTTATTTTGATGCTTACGTGGTGTGCATTCTTGGCTCTAGAAAGCAGTCACATCTGTGTTTAAATCTGTTCCTGTGCATGGCCATACTCAAGTATGTTCTCAGTTTAATTACCCCAGTGGAGGGATAGTGACAGAATATTTACTGATTCTTGAATGCTGATTTAGGAACAGGAAAAAACCTGTTTGGGCTTCTCTGGATTTCATTTTTGAGAGTTTTGGTTTTCAGTGACTGCTATGCTTTTGCTTCACAGGGTGGTCCAGGTGTCAGAGGTGCCAAAGGTCATCGCGGTGATCCAGGTCCAAAGGTACTTTGTACAGCACTCTACATTTGATAGATGTACAGGTTCTTGCTTTATCTTTGCTGCATGTAAGCCTTGAAATTAATTCCAGATTGTCTCTGGTGTTGTTGAGGAAAAAACATAGTGAAATGCCATTGGCGTTTGGTATGGCTCTTTTCATAACAATTGCCTGTCCTGTTTGTTCCTTGATAAAATATAAAATTTAGAATTCTGCTTTCACCACATAAATAATAATTTTTTTTAGTATTTATAAAGGACCCAGGCAGTTTTAAATTGAACCCTAACTGCTCAATCACATATTAACTCATATTTCAGATATTTTTGAGTCTATTGGTATTTAATTCTTCAAACAGAAGCTGCCTTTGTCCATATGATAAGAGTTTAACTTATGTCCTGTGCTACTTTAGGGACCAGATGGACCTCGAGGTGAAATTGGTGTTCCTGGACCGCAAGGACCTCCAGGACCACAAGGACCCAGTGGACTTTCTATTCAAGGGCCTCCAGTGAGACTTAAAAAAATCAATAGGCTTCTTTCCTGTGATGTTTAAAACAGCAAATAGACTAGACTGAAATAGCTTTTAGTGTTGTGATCAGAATCTGAATTTCAGCATTTGAGGTGAAATCACAGATGTGGGTTTGACCTGTAGTGAATGTGGGTTCAATGCCAACATTTCTGCTTTTTATTTGATCTGAACTTTTGGTCAGCTGAAAGTATTTGATCACAGGTTCAATATGACCTGGGTATTAGCATCCAAGCCTGAAGACAAGTGAAAAAAAATTGCAGTGGGGGTCGTAACATGACACCAAACCAAAGTGTTAATATTTTATCTTTTTCTGGTTGGGGTATTGCTCATTGCAGATCGGTTCTAACTTGACAGGTATACCCAAGCAAGAGCACCATATTCTCTGCCAAAATTAAGTAATAATGTTCATTTCATTACAAAATCTGTCATCAGAGGAGGTGATTAGGCCTGGAGTTTGAAATGTTGTTGTGAAATAAGTCGCAGAATTTCATCATAAAGAAACATTGGTAGAAACATTGGTAGCACTTATCTTGTTTCATATACTTCTCAGTAGATGGGTACACACAAGCCTTGAAATGTAGTAGATACAGATCTTTTTCTGCAAGATTTTTTTTCAAATTTACTACATTGTAATCCACTTTCTTCTTTTTATCCAGTCTGTATGGTACTGCTGTACAATATAATGATTTACCAAAACTGTATATTCTTGATGCTGCTGTCATCAGAGAATAATACAGAATACTTTAATTATAAGAATATTTATTTCTTAGAGAAATTTTTTCTATATAAAATTTCATTGAAGTTACTTTATTATGTAGCAACATATATTTTTTTGTCATGCATATGTAATGTAGAAACATGTCTATTTTCCATAGAAAACTCTTGGTTTCATCATTGTAGGAAATACTTCTGAGGCCTGAAGTGAAACAGATTCCTTTGAAGAGAAAATAGCTACCTTTTTTTTTTTTTTTTTTGAGCATAATGGCTATAATTTTGTCAGGTTAATTCTGAATTCTTTTAAAATGAATTTTATTTTCTGTATTTTTAAATTCTTCATTTGCAGTTTTGTAAACAAAAGTCTGTATGTTTGCTTTCAGTAGGAAAAATAGTCTTTTTTTATTGGTTGCTTTGTTATTTTTTTCACAAGAAAATGAAAGGAACTATTAAAAATAGAAAAGTAACCATATATTTGGTTTACTACGTATGATTCTTAATTTGCAGGGGCCACCAGGTGAAAAGGGAGAGAAGGGAGATCTTGGTTTTCCTGGCCTGCAGGTATTCCCTAAGTTATTGTCTAACCCGTCTCTTACTAAGCTTGAATGTTGAATTGACATCACTGTGAGTTTAGGGCATGTATTCCAAACTGCTGAGAAATGTGGTGTTGGGGTGAATTGAAAAGAGCTTTAGAAAGTGAAGGAATACAGGGTATGGTGGTGTGCAGTGACCAATTCATCTGGGGCCTGAGGAACTGGTTATTTTCTTGTTTAACACTGAAATCAGGTCTCTATAGGCTCAAAGCCTGTGCATTTTAACAATGTCTGTTTAGCCATCTCATTTCACAGAAATACCTTCTTTACTGAATCTTTTATGGCCCCACCCATTATTGAACCTAGTTCCATTTATCCAAAAGCATGTCATACAGTTTCACTGGAAAATGATTTAACTGGATTCTATTAATTTGAACTCAACTTGCTTTCCCTTGATCGTGCTTAGGGTGTCCCAGGAGCATCAGGTTCACCCGGAAGAGATGGAGCTCAAGGTCAAAGGGTAAGGTTTAACATGTTTTACGTGTTTTATTTCCATTCTGTAATGGGTATGTTTACCCCTGGTGGTCTAGTGGTTAGGATGCAGCGCTCTCACTGCTGCAGCCCGGGTTCGATTCCCGGTCAGGGAAACTCCCCCGGGCAGATGGAGCTCAACAGCCCTGTAAGGCCATCCATCTAAGAGAAGGTCACTCTAAACAAACCTACGTTCTGAGACCCTCACTGCCACTGTCCAAGCTTGCTCGGCCCCGGCAGATGAACCTCAGGATTAAAGGGTGGGCTCAGTTCAGCGCACGCTGGGTCTCACCTAAAAAATCCACTGCACAGACTCCAAGGGTCAATGACCTTTCCCAAATCTTCGCTCGTGAAGACTGGCCATACATTGATATATCATAATTTATGTCACCTTTATCATCTCTGCCAGTCAGCACAGCAGTCAGAGGCAGGGTGAATATTCTTCCATCTACTGGATGAGGCTTGAGAAATACTAGACTAGTGACAGGAACCATCCACAATGGCTGTGCTTAATGCATTTGATAGAAGTAGAAGTGCCTTGTGTTCAGCACTGCTAATTAGTCTCTTTGCTTATATGTTTAAAATTAGGGGGTTGTTAAATGGTACATAATTAGTATGCAATTCAGTGCAATGATGTAAGTTAGTTTTCTAGCTAATTAATGAGTAACAGAGACAACAACAAGGAAATTCAATATTAGAATTTAGAACAATACCTGTAGAAACTGTTGACAGGAGGAAAAGGGGAAGGGGAAGAATAATACCAAAACTGCCTAGGAAGCAATTAAAAAAAAATCATATTCATTTGTGTAGTTAAATATTTAAGTCCTCCTCCTTGTCTCCTTGAAGAGACTCTTGTTTCATTGTTAGTCAGGCACTGGAAAATTTTTGTTAGCATAGTACTAGATTTCTGTCTACAGTAGAAGTTCGTTATTAAATATGACTTTTCAGTTTCATTTGAACAAGATTTACATATTCATGATCCTTTTTTGGAGTATGTTAATGTAACTTGAACTTCGGAGAAATCTGGACCTTCTTTGATTTTCTGGCATTACTTTTAGACCTTGTTATAAAAAACCCCATCCCTGTAGCAAAATGTGTATTTGAACTCACTATTATGAATTTAAACATTGGCATATCTTTATGTCTAGAAGTAAATCCACTGAAGTTATTGTGGAATTTGGATGATACATAGATATGCTTTTTTCTCTAAAAATCAAGAAAAAAAATTTTCTTAAGACAAATATTTACACATTATCATCAGAAGAATAATTGCATGAATAGCCTTCTAATTTTCAATTAAGTTGTGGTGAAATATGAAGCTATATATATTCTTTTTTTCTACTTTATAATACTGTGATGTCTTCTTCTTTTGCATGTTTTTAATGGGTTTTTTTGGCTGTATTGGCATATTTCCCCCTAAATTCCCCAAGCTTGGTGTCACCTCTTCATCTCCAGGTTAATAAAGACCTGGAGCTTGATGAACATTTGGATTTTTGCCATGTTCTGTCTGATCTTGGTCATGGACAAGTTGAGGTGACGTGGTGGTAAATGCTGTACATGTGAGTGGTGTGTGCCTCCTTGCTCTACCTTCCTGATCATGAGGGACATCGAGGGGTTTGCAGTTCAAGGAAACTTGTTTTTATATTATTCTGTAGCTGACTTTGTATGTAGCAGTGGATGCCCTCAGACAGACCTTGATGTCAGTCAGCAGTTCAGAAGTGGTCTAGTTTTCCTACATGTGGAAGTCAGCATGTTGTTGCAGAGAGATGGTATTCCAGAGAAAAGCTGAGGAAGGCTAATGCAACAAAGGCTTTCGATACATCCTGGGAAGGTCATGTGGTGCTTATTCTGTAGAATACCCCAATGTTGTCTATAAAAAGGTAGGGCAATTAAATAAATTGCTGTTCTTTATGGATATGGTAGTAATGCTTCGTTCATTTGTGTTGCCTTTCTTCTGCTGTTAATCACAGGAGCTGGATGAACAGCCTAGAGCTCATAAAATGAGGTCTGTTATTGTCTCTGTGCGACCCTTATGCAATGTTGTCCTGCAGTAATTATTTCTATGGTAACAAATAATTATATTATACTAATTTTATGGTGTTGTAACTCATTTTATTCCTGTGAAGTTATGACAACATAAAATTGCTTTTAATGGGTGAAGATTCAAACCAATTATTTCACCGCAGTCTCTTTGAAGACCCAGCGCTTGAGAGAGGCACAGTTTTGAAGGGCATAACTGCAGCAGCAAAGGGGAACTGGAAAATTCCTGAGAAGTAAATTACCTTTTCATATAATGTTTCTTTTGTTGGGCTTCCTCCTGTTAGCCAAGGTGCCAAGCTGTTTTGCAACTATTACACTACTAGAACTGAGATTTTCTATGTTATTCTTAGCTTAGTTATCACTTCCTCTTTAGTATTTATTAATCGTTTAAATATTTTAATTATAGTGATACCAGTGCTGTAAAGTCCTTAAACAGATGGCTAAATCACAGTGATTTTAATGGGAGATATGCATGGGACTGGTATTTATTGGGAGATCTCTGAGAACTTTACTGAACTGGGTATAATGTGGTATTTCACTCATGAAGTCCTGGAATGAAGATTTTTTTTCTTCCAGTTACTAGTAGTTGGAATCACTTCACTTTTACAGTTCTTTTTCCTTCCTTTTTTGATTTTGATTTCTAGTGTTCATACTTTCTGGTTTTATTTTTGAAATCAGTTGAGAAAAGGGTTTGTTTTTTCCCTTCTTAATGTTGTAATTCAACACTTAGTCTGTAAAGTTTCTTTTTGTATTTCTGGACTTCTGCTTTTTAGTCCCTGGTTTATTTGCTTTATCTTGCATTTTAGTACCTCTTCAAGAAATAGAACATCTTCTCTGTCAGTTTTGTGAATTCATACAAAGATCACTCTCATAATGACATACCCACTCTATGAAAAAAAGTGGAATGTAATAAAAGTACTGGGTGAAGCCTGACTCAGAGTAAAAAAACCTGCATTTTCTGATAATAAAGCAAACATTTTGAATATACATGATAATGTTTTATACGTATCTGGTAACTGGTTTAAATCTACATCTCAGGCTCCACATGAGGAACAGTCCCCTCCCCTCTTATCTGCTTCCACTTATAAAAGAGTGTCATAAAAGATTTTATAAAATAGAAAATTATTTATTTTTATTTTATGGCTGGAGCTGTGGTTCTTTGGTGTCCTCTCTTGCTGCCCCATATTTGTAGCTACCAGTATAGAGAGGTTTTACTAAAAAGAACAGATCGTGTTTCTCCCCGAACACTCCCAAGCCTTTCATGTTGAAAGATAGAGCTTGAATTGCACATGTGACACATTCTGCTTTTTCTGGGTCAGGCAGTCATGGGTCCCAGGCTGCAAGGTTTTTTAAAAGCCCCTACAGGAAACTCTTTCAATCCTGGGCTCAGTAGCTTCAGTTAAGTTTTTGCCAGTATCTAGTCCTACTGGAAAAATCACCTCTCCACAAGTCCCCCAAACAAATTCCAGGCTACTGAAAGCTCCTGAATCTATAATGGTGTCAGCAGACCTGAGATTTTACACACGATGCCATTTGTATTTCAGCGAATAAAATCCCTTATAAAAATTCTGTCTGAACTACACTCTTTCTCTGTAATTTTTTTTTTCATACCATTAACAAAGTATGTCTTGATTTGAGCTAACTTTCCAAGATAATATACATCTTGATTCTAGGATCTACATCCTAGGTCACACATCAAAATCTGTACCATCCTGCTCTTGGACATGCAGCTACATGGGGGAGATTCAGTGGCTCTGTACGGAGTCATTTCTGTCCTGGATGTGACAGAGAGAAAGTGCTGTTGTGCTACGTAATTCCTCTAGTCATTCCCATTGGAATAGAGATGGTTAAGCAAGGAGGAGAATTCAATAAATGGGAGATTAGATAATATCTTTAAGGCTTCAGTGCTCAGAATACATCTTTGTGAATTCCCACAGTGCTCTATTTTCTTCTACATTACACACACCAAAAATAATGAGAGAAAGAGCCAGAAGAAATACATTCCCAGTCCTCCTGCCAATTTCCTGGTACGTACTAATCTCTATGCACTACTCACAAGTTCAGAATGAGTGTCAGATCCATTCTGGCCATCAGATGGTCTGAGTAACATCATCTTCAAACCCTGCTGGCAGCACAAACAAGTATCTTTAGTCTTTTACTTGTGTGAGAGAATAGGTACTGCCATACTCTTTCTTAAATCAGGCTTCACTTTGACTTCATTTACATGTAGCAGTTTTCACATCTAGCAAATACAGTAGGAGGTGATCTTCTGGGGGCAATACAGACACAATGCCAAGAGAAATAAACCTTAGGAGAATGGACAGGAGGTGATTCTTGAGCAGCCAACAGTAAAAACACTGCTCAGAATAAAGAAATTGTGAAATATATTCCAAGAAAATGTAATTTGATCGTACTGTTAATTCTACTCTTTGACTGGGATGGGAGAAGGGAGGGACCTACAGCATTGTTTTGCTTTAGAAGTTTGTGGGAATCCACTCTAGATCCTGGAAGTCAGTGGAAAGCTCTATATTTCCCTACTCATAGTTAAATTACGCTCTTGAAAGAGTCCAGCCAGTTTTTATTCTGCTTTAGAACTGGTCAAAAATAAATGCAGATTTTACATATTTGCTTTAAAAAGTCAAACATGCTTGTAAATATGCAGGTATCGGTCTTCCTGAAGGTTTTACTGTTACAAAGAGAAGTCTAGCTTGCATTACCTTTAGGGACTTCCATGTTATTGTAAAAATGTGAATAGCTATCATTGAATTTTTCAAAACATTGTTCACAACTAAATGCTTCTTCCAGAGAATATTAGAAACCCTATTTTATCATTTTCAATGCATTTCAAAGTTCTTTCCTTATACCATTCTCTGTTAGCTCTAGGAATACCAGTTTTGGAGTATGAACACACTTTCCTTTGCAAACATATTTGAGCTAGGCTTGCAACCTCTTTCTGTGTATCTCTTAAAACTACTGTGATAAAGATACTACTACTATCTTTACTTCAATGGTGCTTAGCTGTTACAGTTGATTTAGTTCTTACTGTGATATGGGAGCTGCTTTGGTACTTGCAGCTTCAGGAACCATCTGGCTACACTGTGAAACAGGAAAGTATTTCCTTATCAACTCTAAGGATGCATAGATGACATAATGCGAGTTGACTATGTGGCTTATTTTATCATCAAAACACCCTTCTGGTGGAATTTTAAAAAACCTTTCCAGGTACATGGCAGATAATATTCCCCAGGCAGTTTCATATGCCATATGATTGCAGATATGAATAATAGTTTCTGAATTATGAAAAGCATAACTGTAGTAGTTCATGCTGGAGTCATTATTAAAACTGTGTCAGAAATAAAGATTCAGAAAAAATACAAACCAAAAAAGCTCTCTGAGATACTGAGGCCTGGAATGTTCTTTACTGTATGTGTCAGCATAAACACTTTCAAACCTTTCAGCAATAACCCAAACACTTTCCAGCTTAAACTACCTTTCAAAGTGGTCTTGAACCAGAAACAAGACCATATTTTTCCTTTGTAGGGGCTGTAGTAATTAAAGAATGCTTTATCACCAGGCTGGTCAGAAACGCATGCTTTATAGCATAGGGATACAAAGTGTGCATATTGGTTAATTTGCAAGAATACTTTATTAATAGTGTATTTTCCTCTACATCTGGTCAGTCTTTTTTTTTTTTTTTTTTTTTTTTTTGTGATTTGCTTGCTTTCCAGTTTCCAAGTTATCTTTAGTTTTTGGCTCCCATTTCTGGAAGCTCTGAGGCATGTTCATAATGTAAACCACATGAGCATTCCCGGTGCTTCCTGAATCAGGACCTCAGTGATAGTTAGTACATATGTACAGTATTGCTGGGCAGAGAGATCGACTCTCAGTTGCCATCTTTCAGCACTTCATCAGTGGGACTGTGAATAGTTGCAACCAGTGAGAACAGATGTAGAAACGTGACCTTGTGGTAGGGAGGTTTGACAGCAAACCCTCTCATTTATCTCGCTACAGAAGCGTTCGAAGTGAAATTCACTCAGAGGTGAAAATGGCCAGTATGAAGAATTTTGCATTACTTCTTATTTCAAAAGTATTGTGAGACTAGCTAGATTTTTTTTTTTTAATAATATTGGTGACACTATGGTTCCTTTTCAGAAATAAATCCTCCCCAGGGCAAATAAGGGAATTTTTTTTCTAAGAAACCACTACCAACAGTTATTAATTAAAAAACCAAACAAAAACAACAAAAACCTCCCCAAACAAAAACCAAACCAACAAAGCAAAACAAAACTGAAGAACAAAAAGTAAATAGTATCATCTAGATGAAACAGAACAGATTCATGAAGTACATATAAGAAGCTGATAAAATTGCCTTTATTTCTCTTTTATAGGGCCTTCCTGGCAAAGATGGACCCACAGGCCCACAAGGACCTCCTGGCCCAATGGTGAGTATTGCCTATGGAATTTGTTACTGTAAAAGGCAGCAGGATTTGGGGGGATTATAGGTCACACTGTTATCTAGGCTACAGTGGATAGACCAAGCCCAAGGGAAGTTAATTTTCTCATGACGCACGGAGTTGGCAGATAGCTGCTTGTCCAGTGTCATTTCTTTCCACTCTTACTTAGCTCCAGAAAAAATGTCTCCCATGGGAAGGAGAGAGGGTTATTCTGTCAATAGATTGATAGCTTGTTCTTAGGCAAGTAGCTGCACTATATAGAGGGAATGAATGTTCTTAACATTTCGAACAAGACTTTCTTTTTGTAAAAAATTCCAATTAGGACTTAGTTGAAGGGAAATGCCACGTTTTGCTTGGTCTGGAGGCTGGAGGTGAGCGCAGGTACTCTCACAGAGTAATCAAGGAAGACAGCAGAGTCCAAGTTCATCCTTCAAAGTAAGATGTATGTTGCCTTCAGAATCAGTGTCAGCCTTCTCAGCTACTGGGCAGCTAGGCAAAGTTAATGCCTTCTGGATAAGTGTAAAATGTTACATGAAGCTGAGTATTCTCCAAGCCATCCTGTGGTTTTTACAAAGAACATTCCAAGTCATGCCCCTTCAACACAGTATTAACATCACAGGATTTAGTGGTTCAGCAATTCCTTCCTGTTCCAGAAAGCAACCCACATTATTTTTCTCAAGTGCTTTTCTCAGAGCTGTGCTTTTGGTGCTCTTTTTCCTGCAGCATGTACTTCTCAGTCCTCTCTCTTGGCATCTCCAGTCTTTGACAGAACTGATTGTGTACTGGCTGCTTTGTGGACTTTTGCTCATCGAGATTCACGGATGTTGACTGTCATCACCACTGTTTTCTTTCTCTTTTTCCATGCAGGGCATACCTGGTGCTCCAGGTGTTCCAGGTATTACTGGAAGCCAGGGGCCACAAGGTGATGTTGGAGCTCCTGTGAGTAAAATTAATTAATATTTCTTTATCTTCTGTTGTGTATTAGTTGGTTTCTGATCTTGGCTTCACTGTTTGACAGAACTCCTCAATATTTATAGCTCATGATCTGTTTGCAGTTAGTGGCTAAATGAAACATCATATTGATCTTTCTTTGTTCATTCTTTGTAACTAAATTTATTTGTTGATCTTACATACAGTGTTTGGAATATAGGGATTATAGAGTCAAAACACAAAACATGGAACTTAAAAACATAACTGTGTGAATTTGTAGTCTTTGTGTAATTACTTTCTCCTTTCTTTCATTTACACTTCTAGCAACTCTTGGGAAATTCAAGTATGCCATTTATTAACCTGAATATTTCCAAAATATTATTCTGATTCTCAAACTGTGAAAATATTGCATGAAAAAAAATCTGGCTTTTGTGGTTACTCTATGTTCACATCAGAACAAATGACTAATGACCAGGGCTTTTTTTAGATTATTATTATAAATTTGACTGTCAGTTTCTTTGAGTGGAAAATTACATTCTCTATAACTGAAATTAGTATTAGGAACCTCCAATATTAAGTTTGTCTTTCAGATATTATTTTTTTATTATTATAAAAACAACCCAGAACAAAACAGTTTGATTGGAAGAAAGGAATACAACTATGAAATGAGTGTGTAAATTATATAAAAGACAATATTTATAGTGGACCTCTTTTTTCTCTGTAACAGTTCAGGTAATATTGTGTATTCATATTTAAACATTTGACAACTTGGTTAATTAGAAAACCTGCTCAGTTTTTTTCCATATATGACAGTAAATGTTCTATTTAATTTTTAAAGACATCAGAATTGGGCAGTGTGTATTTCTGACTCTATTTGTAGACTAGAAATTTTTTTTCAAGATCCAGTTTGGTTTGGAGATTTAGGCCAATGCAAGCATTTTTATTTGGCTAAGCGGAAATGAAATTAAATTGACTGATAATGTATAATATATAAGCAAAGATAATAACCTAATGCCCAGTTCTGCATAGTTTCTTCGTGATATCATGAAATCCACTAAGGAGATTTGATGAGCTATGGAGTTTATTACTATCAATATATAACATGTTGGCTATTCGGTTCCTGTCCAAATACATAAATACATGTTCCAGATATTGAACCAAATTTCCTAGAGTGTAGATATTCCTGTGAGTCATGTAAGAGCTCTACTGTGTTCAGAAAAAACAGCTAGATGGGTGAAAAATTACTGAGCTTTAATAACTGTCTTTCTCAAAGGGTAAAGTAATAAAAAAGAGATCTCAGAAATAATCTTGCAGTCTTTGTATGAGTTTCTTCTTTCATCATCATGGCTAGGCTTCGCGAACGAAAATTTGGGAAGGCTCTATCCACATTTGCTACAGGCACGCTGGTGGCTTATGAGGCCAATACGAGACAGACATATCCGATTGCAAAAGGCACAGCAGAAAGACTCCTTAGGAGGTGTATTCTGCAATTTACGGTTCTTTCTGCGCTGCCTTTTTTCCTTGAGAGTGATCTTACGTGTGTTCTCGAAGGAGACAGCTGCGTTATAGATGGTGTGTCTCCAGGCCTCCCGATTTGAGGCCAGAGTAGACCAGCTGTGGTGATCAATATGGCCAAGGCTGAGATGTTGTTTCAGGGAGTCCTTGTATCTTTTCTTCGGGGCTCCTCTCATGCGGCAGCCAGTGGCAAGTTCACCAGAGTTTCTTCTTTCCCAGGATAGAATTAAGCTGTGCTTTAACCATATATCAGTGAGCTGCTTACCTATTCAGGTAGACCTTTCCTTGCTACCCCAAAAAACTGCCATTGGTGAAGTTATAACTGCCCTAGTCAACTTGTTCCAATCCGTAATAGTCCTTACCATCATTACAGTATTATATTATCTTTAATGTCTGATATGGTTTGAAGCTGGCTCCCTGCCAAGTCTCCAAACCTTACCACAAGAAGTCCCCTTCCTCCCCCCAAACCTCAGGGAGAAGAGGGAAAAAACAACCAAGAAAACCGAAATGAGAGAGAGACAGCTAAAGCAATATATATAAACATAATATAAATATATTTACACTTATATTACAGTTATATACAATTTCACAAGGAAAAGGGAAGGGGGAAGGGAAAAGGAACAAAACCAAAATAAAATATATATATATTCCGATTAGTAACCCAATATTTAGCAACTAAAAGAGTTAGCAAAGAAACATCTCTACTCTCCTTGGGACAACCGATAGTCGCTCTGGAACAACCGCCAGCAACCTCCATCTCCCAAGGTCGGCAAGGCCTTACCAGGCCTCGCTCCCCAACACGACAGACTCAACAGCAGGGAACCTGCACCTCCAAGCCGCCGGAAGGAAAGAGAGCGAAGGCCTTTCCTCCTTTCTTCTTATAGTCTGGCTTACGTAAAAATCGTAGGGAATACTGGGTAAATCTGGACTCTTCCTTGGCTACAGACTGGTCACCAAGAAAGGCCTAGACCAAACTACCACATTCTCATACTTAATTTTCTGTGCAGTTTAACCCCTTTGCTGACTCTGTTCATAGTGGATGAAGAGTCTCAGTGCAGTAAATGTCACAAATTTCAGACTGCTATTTTGTCATAATTAGACCAATTTCAGCCATGTGAAATGCATGCCTGCCCTTGCTGCCATTTTAAACAAGTGAATTCAGTGTGTGACAAACACATGAGAAAGTAATTGTTCCCATGTAGTTGCCAGAGGTGAACATTTTGTTGAGTACTGAAATGGAAGTGTATTTGCCAGTGTCACATAACAGTGAAATCTTGTTTATTGTTTTTTTTCCCTCCCTTTACTGTGAATCTGCAAGGGAGACAATGTTTTAGGTGTTGAAAATTTTGAGCAGAACAAAATGGGAATTAATTTTTGGTATTGAATCTTTTCATAGGGTCCTCCTGGAGCTAAGGGTGAAAGGGGTGAGCGGGTAAGTCCATATTCACATTAGCCGTGCTTTTTTCCCTGTCTGCCTTCTGCCTTATGAAAGCTTTTTCCAACAATTTATGTTTCTCTGTGTTTACAGGCACAATAGTTTTCTCTCTGCAGTCAAGAAAACTTTCCTTCTTTTCCAGACTTGGTCTTACATATAGCTACATTCATATTTTGAAGGCGAGAAATATGAGGCATCAAGCATGTCTCCAAATCTCTCATTAGGGTTATCTTCTCAGACCTTGGCTTACTGGCTGAAACAGTAATGGGAACCAGCAAAATCCCGAAATTTCTTTGGCTTTTTTTCCTCATCTGTGAGGATATATCTCTCAGCAATGATAAATGTCTTTCATTGCTCTAAGCACTTTCAACACAGAACTGATGCAACAAACTGTTTTATGACACTGCTGCTGTTGTTATCCAGGGCGATCTTCAGTCCCAAGCAGTGGTTCGTGCTGTTGCTCGTCAAGTGTGTGAACAGCTCATCCAGGGCAAGTATATCCATAGTTCATATGCTTCTATCTCCAGAATGGATTTTTCCTGCCACCATTACTTACAAATACAATGCTTTTCAAAGTATCTAAGGGGATCTGTTTGTTTTAGGCTAGACAGTCAGGATTTATGTTCAACTGGATTTATAGCCAAGTAGAGCTGATTAGCATCAGCCATCTAAGCCAGAATTGTCTCCAATCTATTATAGTATACAGAAGCTTCTGCTGTAACAATTTTAAATTTTTATAGACATAAAATACAAAAAAAACCCCAAACCCTTACCAAAGTAAAGAAATAAAATTCCACACAATAGTTTTTCCACTTTCTGTGTACTTCCTAAACCACTATTTCTCCACCAACAAGTACACAACTTCATGCACATAATATCAAAGTATGACAGACCACAGCCTTGAGAACTTGCCAATGCTCTGTTCAAACTTTTCTGAACCAGATTTTCCACTGCAACTTGAAAATTATGATATTTTTTTCCTGACAGGTCATATGGCAAGATATAACTCAATTCTGAACCAGATTCCAAGCCAATCTGTCTCAACACGAACCATCGCAGGACCTCCTGGTGAGCCAGGTCGGCCAGGAGCTCCAGGGCCACAGGGTGAACAAGGATCACCGGGCATGCAAGGGTTTCCAGGAAGCCCTGGTCAACCTGGAAGACCAGGAGAAAGAGGTAGGCTTCATACTTCACACATACAAAGTTATGCCTCCTTTTCCTGATACATTCTGATGGCTTTTGTCTCCTATCTAAATCAACGCAACAGTTTTCTCACTAGTTGGTTGGTGAGTTTAACACAGACCATAATGACAGCTCTGTAGAATCTCTGTCATGAAGGTCATGCAGGCTTTGCTGAGTGTGATTTTGCAGGATCAAACAGAGGTTTAATGTTTAAACTGCTGAAGATTGGCGGGACCTAACTGTACACATCCCATCACATCATGCTTAGTAGGACTCTGAAGTGAGCTGAATCCCTAAATATATCAACAAAGGAGCTGCTGAAGAATGTCAAATGCAAAACTGACAGGTGCATGTTGGGGAAAGATTGAGCTTTTCTGATAACGTGAAATGTGTCAGTCTAGAAATTTCTGACTCACAATTGTCTGAATGGAGCAAGGTTGATAAGGAAAAGAAAAAAATTCTTAGTTTATGGAAATGGTGAGGTCAGAGAGAAGTAATACACTTAACATTTACAAGAATTCTCTTCTGTATTCTTCTGTGTAGGCTAGATCCCCTTCTCTGTTCCTCCACCAGCGTTGTCTAATAAAGAAACAAGCTCCATGTTTGATTTACTCCCTCTCTGTGCAACCCTGGCAATCTTTGGTGTCTCCGAGTAGCACTAATCTCACAGAGGTAATGCTGAGTCGATCTAAAATCGTGAAAGTGCTTTGAGGACCGTGACATGAGGAGGTGTCCAGAAACCCAAGAGACGTATGTGATATTCAAAAGCAGTGAATTGGTGTTGCTGTTACAAAATCTGCTATCTAGCATTTTAAAAATTAATTGCTACGAAGGCTGTGCAGTTCAGGAACAGTTCAGTTCAGGAGCTTAATAGTTCCAGTTCACAGTAGCCATGATGCTCACAGTTAAAACATTGCTTTGAAAAGAAAGTCTTTGAGTGAACCTGTGAGACTGTAATTCCAATTATTTAAAAAAAAAAAAAAGAGTCAAGGTTTCAGGTACTGGCCCCTCAGTCATGCCTGCCTGCTCCAGCTGAGCAAAATCCAGACACTGTCCAGAAAGAAGGAGGAATGAGACAAGTAGAAAAAAAGATTGGAAGAGAAAGCAAGTGATGAACTGACTTTAAAAAGGGTGACCTGGAGAGACTCAATGCAGATTTCAGGGTACTTGCTTCCACACTAAAACTAGCATGTATCAAATGGCTTCTTGGGAATAGATCGTTTAAGCTAGGACTTTGGGAATGGAAGAACCAAAATACCAGGCTACAAAAAAGGAAACCCGTCCAGCATTTTCCATTGTATTTGTTGTGCTGAGGCCCAGACACACATGTTGTACTGCTATGAAATCACAGAGTGTTTAGATACAGTCATTTAAATGGGTTGACTCATTGCTGATAATGTCTGAGAAGCAGCATTGGCAACAGAGTGAGTACAGATAGGGTAAAAACACATTGAAAAGAGTATTTATTACTCTTTTCTTCTCTATATAGATAACTGATGTTAGAAGGGACTGATTTTGACAGGTAATGCTTGTGGGGAGTTTCATAATTAGAGAGCAAGTTCTGTTCAAGCATCCTTCAGAATTACAATCAGCCAGCCAGAGCTCTGCAGATTTTCATGAAACGTGATGCCAAATATTGGGAGTGTTTTACAATACTTAAAGCTTAAAATGAGATTGTTTCAAGAATCAAGAATCCACGTGTAAACTTAAAAGACAAAAGAATTGGTGGTTTATTTGGAGTGAAAATGGGATTTTAGGATGTTCATGTAACTGGAGCCTTAAACAGAATCTGGAAGAAAGAGGAAGGAGCTCCTTCAGAAAGTAGGCAAAAGCATAGCATAATTTATTAGTCCTTGGGGATTTAATTTCTTCAGAAGCAACTGAATCTTTATTCTGATGTGTTTGATATAATAGCACTTTATTTAGCAGGAAGATACCTTTTGCTACAGACCTTTGGGATATTTCGGAATCTGTTTCTAAGGAATTTCTCTAAGCTAACCCCAAAATGCAGAAATAAAGATTAAAAATTATTGTAACCAGATTCATGCTTGTGGAGAATGACTGGAAGTTTTTTGTGCATTCTCAATTATCACTTGCTTCCTAATTACATATCATACAGGGAAGGAGCAGACTAAAATTACTCTTCTTCTGTATGGAAGGGTTTTTAATTTTCCAATAACTACAGAGAAGAGAGTAAATAGAGTCAGACCCCATCCCTTGGTGTGTTCTGAACCATTGTTTGCATTTAACTTGTTTGGCAAACACGATGTATAGTCCTGTCCTGAAGATCTCCAGCCAGCCACTTGGAAGTCTTTATGAACAATGTGTTTCTTTTCACTGATGTCATCAACATTTTGGTTGTATGTGAAGTCAATTTAATGTTCAAGACCAGTGCCAGATCAGCAACTCTGAAAGTCAGGCTCCACCTTTAAGTCCAGAAAATGCACTGCTGCAGAGTATACTGAGAAGTCATAGGCATTAGAAGGAAACAACACCCGCTTATTTAGTAGTGTTGCTTTTTTCCCTCAAATTATTGGGATTGCTGCAAGAATGTGTTACTGGCTCTGAGCTGAGTGGCAAGGTGTTGGTAGAGTGGGAAAAGGTGGGACAGGAGGATAGATGTTTCTTCCTGCTCGCCTCTCCTGCCTACCACCTGTTCAATCCCAGCCTGTAACAAAGGGGCACTTCGGAAAGCAACGTGTGGGACTGGTCAGAAGTCATGCACCAAAGAGAGCTTTACTGGAATATGTCAGCAGCGAGAGACACCAGTGAGCTTCCCTGCTAACTTGCCTGGCCAATAGCTTCTTTTCCCTTGTTTACCTTGTCACTCTGCCAAGCATTAATCAGATGTTTTGGAAAGAGACTGGGATTCAGAGAGTGTTTTGGAGTTCTGTTTGAAACCTTCACTTGAACTTCTAGGTCCAGGATGTCCCATTCTTGGATGTGTTCTCTCACTAATAAAGCACTGAGCTGGTCCTTCCAAGAAAGACCACCTCAGGGAGAAAAGACAAGTCATTTCTCCTGACAGATTCAGTTCTCAGTGTCTGTTGCCAGCTGAGAGGCCACATTGTATTACCAGCCCCTACAGTACATATTCCCAGATAAATTACTAGAATTTTGCTCTCTTACTTATTTGCAGAAATACATAAAACCCCAAACTCAAACGCTAATTATTCACATCAACGCATCTCTATTTTAATTTTAATTTCTATTTAATCTCTGTTTTAACTGGTACTGGTCACAGTACTGGTTTCTATTTTCATAGACCAGTACAGACCAGTACTGGTCACAGTACTGGTTTCTATTTTCATTTCAGCTAGTTCAAATATCTTTTGTTTTGATTTTATGTTTATGAACTGGGACTTAACTAGTGGCTGGCTTCTGAGTGCCCAGGAACTAGTTGAAACTGCAAAATAATATAAAATCCCCAAGGATTCAGCACGTTTTTTTCTTCTTTTTTTTTTTTTTTTTTTTTTTTTTTTTTGTTTTCAATTATTTTTGTAATAGATCGGTAGTTTTCTCAACTTCGAGGAAAAATGGAAAAGCCCT